GGCTGTGCACAAAATGTGTGGCAGAAACACCCCACGTTCCCAAGATAATGCAATAACTGCAGTTTGTGAAGCAAGAACTAGAAGATCCCAGCCAAGGGAGGACCATCATGTAAATACAAATGAGTCTTCTAAGACCTCCACTTGTATCCTCCAAGAATCTTCCAAGAATCAATTAAATTGCAACCAATAGAGTGTAAATTCTAGAAAACAATACATAAATCTCTGAGGTCTTTGCTTTGCAGCTGTCAACCAACTGTAGTATTAGAGCCTATATTCTTGTCTATAATGAAGTTTATAACCTGACTGAACTATGTTCTGGGAATCTTCTATTGAGTCTAAAATAACTAAACTAAAGATTAGGCACTTCTGTTTCTTGCCCAGTCCAGGTTTTAAACCTTGTGTCATGGTTTCGATAGACAGAGAAGAATAAAGCAGAACTCCAAGGCTTGCAAATTCCTCAAAGAATATGTTTATTAGTTACAAAGTATTGGCATGTCAAAAGTGAAACCAAGTCTGGAGACACACATAACAATTCCCCATTACAAAGTTAAAAAATCCCTCCCCTAAAACTATGCAAGCAACTACGTTCCCCAATACGTAACATTCCTCAATACTGCAATGCCCAGCCTGCAGTCTCGGGAGCAGTTGATGACCTTGGTTCCCACAGAACAAAAGATTATTTAGACTAATCTAAATAATGGGTAACCCCCCTCCTCCGTTCTATGTGGCAACTGAAAATGAATAGGAAAAATGGCTGCAGCCATGCTTATTTGTAGAGTTGACACCTAGTTTCTAGATATAATATGTTTATATTTTTATCATACAGTTCCTTAATTGCCCTGGCTTGTAGCACCAATAGCACTAAGTGAAAATGTCTCATATAATTATTGTTTGTTATTTGAGTTTCAAGTTATGTTGGATGATAATCAACTCCTGACCCTTTTTTTTAATTCAGTGTGCCATCAGTACTATGGCATCTGTATAATAATTTAAACTCTTACTATTATTTTCAGAGCAGTAAATTGCCTAATGACTCTAAGTTAAGCCCTTGTTTGTATTTTGGATTCCTTAATTTTCAAAATACCATATGTGATATAACTATTGGGTCTTGTACATTAGATGTAGCTTTCATAGCAGTTTCAGACTATTATGAAATATGCTGTTTTATATTCAAGAGGATATATCAGTAGTTCAATTCTATAGATTATGGAACTGAGGCATTGTATTTGGCATGTGACTTTCTTCGTTGAGTGTTCTCCTACTATATTAGCTATTAATATGGATAATATCTAGTATACACGCAGGTTGGAGTTATAACAGAATAACAGAGATATCCAGTGCATTCAGTAAGGCATAGTTTGGAGTAAACAAATTATACAATAGATTATATACTTCAGAGGGAAGAAGAAAGTATTGCATTATTTTACTTTCTCTTCATTTGATATCCAGAGTATAGTATTATATTTCTTCTGTAACTACCTCTTGTATGTTACCACTCTGGTATGATAGAATTACTCAGTAACTTCAGTGATGTTTAGAATGATGCCAGCAACAGAATAAGATTCTGATGGAGGGGGTCACTCTTGCTGGTAAAGTCAAAGAGAGAGGAGAAACTAACAGTAATCCATAAAGGGGATGAAGACATTTAGATGTGAAAAAAGCCAAGCAATTTATGAAAAACAATTCCAAATTCAGAAGGAAATGGAAAGCCACTTGTGTACTGTTTCTTAAAAATTGTATGGACATAGATGTAACATTAATCTAGTTTGGGTGCCAGATAATAAGTTACTAATACATCAGAATATCATAAGCTGATCTGGAGGTGTCAAACCTATTACAGGAAGTGTTGATGTGGCCAGAATAAAGTCTGGTTATTGATAATGCCAGTAGTGAAAGAGGAGTTCCACGACTGATGACGAACATAAGACACACAGTTGCAACATGGTATGTAAACTAAATCAGAGGCGGGGGATTGAAATAGTAAAATTGGAATCATACCTTCTTTAGGACAAAATGAACTGAAATCAACCATTTTAAATCCATTTTAACAAATAGAGGCCTAGTTGGTGGGAGATTATCAGTGTTCTTTAGGAGGGAAGGTGATGCTTGTAACCTTGAAAAAGTGCAAACTCTTCTTAAAGAAGCCCTCCCTGGATCACTTATCATTACTGTCCAATTGATAGGCTTGTGGGAATTCTGCTACAGAGTACCCTGGAGGAAATGGATTATCTAGGCTCCTATTAGTCTGTATGCAGGCATGGTCACAGAATGAAAATAGCAATAGCACTTATATACTGCTTCACAGTGTTTTACAGCCCACTCTAAGCGGTTTACAGAGTCAGCATATTTCCCCCAACAATCTGGGTCATCATTTTACCGACCTCAAAAGGATGGAAGGCTGAGTCAACCTTGAGCCGGTGAGAATCAAACTGCCGAACTGCAGACAGCTGGCAGTCAACAGAAGTAGCCTGCAGTACTGCATTCTAACCAGCGCGCCACCATAGCCATTAGTCACAGTGAATGATCTTTGTTTGGACTTAGATAAAGGTAGTGCAGTGATGGTGAACCTTTTAGAGACTGAGTGCCCAAACTGCAACCCAAAACCCACTTATGCATCATCGGGTGCCGGGTGGGTGTGGCCCATTGGCTGGGTGTGGCCAATTGGGTGGGTGTGGCCCATTGGCTGCGGTGGTAACGGCAGACTGGGTGGGACTAAAAAGTTCAATCAATCAATTCCAACTTTGCAAGATCTTTTTTTCCCCGCAAGAAGTTGAAATTGAGTGATTGATTGAACCTTTTTTTTTTTTGCACACGGCGGCGGAGGCCTAAAGCGAAAAGGTTTTATAAAACCCAGCTGAAGGCTCAGGACTGGGGTGACGGCGCGCGTGCCCACAGAGAGGACTCTGAGTGCCGCCTCTGGCACCTGTGCCATAGGTTCGCCACCACTGAGGTAGTGCAACCATTCTGGTCCTGATAAAATTCTCATCTACTTTTGAAACTATAAATAATAGATAAAGTATCTGGTCCTCCTATCGCCTTAGGAGCTGTATATATTACCATTAGCAGGAGGTTGCAGTCAGTGGTGATGGGAAGGAAAGGCCCCATGGCCTCTCATATATGGCATATCTCAGGTGTTGATTTTTTTTTTAACTTCTGTTGTTCAACACTTACATAATGGTGCTGGGAAATGTCAGCAATAGGTTTGGGGTGCAGTATCACTGGTAGTTGTCCCAGCATCTGGAGGCTCTGGGGCCCTAGATGGGAAAAACTATGTGTGTCTATGCATATGTGTATTAGTCAGCTATTAATCTGTAAAAAGAGTTGTAGCTCTTTACTCAGGACTTTAACTTTACTCATGATTTGGTGTATTAAATAATGTTTGGAAACATTTTTGGAATGTTATGATCTTTATACATTTGATCAGTTTTCAAATTCTGAAGAATATGTATGGAAAGTTGAATCTAGTAGAATGTCAAAATTCAAATACTGCTTTTGTATCAGTTCTATCTTATTGCTTCTGACTTGTTAAAACAGCAGCATTTGATTTTTAATAAACTGAAAGTAGTTATCGTTGGAAGTCAATGTTCAATTATCCCACGAATGTAGTGATATAATTGGACTGCAGTTAATATGTTGTCTCTATTTAATGTTTTAATGGCTAATTTTTGAATGGGTTGTCTGAGACATTAAAAAATTGGGAAAGAAATTTGAATTTTGTGATAATAGTTAACATTTTTTGTTAAAAAGTTTGTATTTCTTAAAAAAAAAACAAGAACAGCTTCTTCTTGAATATTTGTGTTACAAATCTGGGGTGGTCAATTCAAAATTGAATTTTTTAGGTCTGTTTTAGCTCTATGTGTAAGTTATCCAGAGAGAGGAAAGGGTGTGTCTATCTTTGCAGTTCCAGCAATAAACAGAGCATAAATTCAGCAATGAGATGAGTAACTAGAAACATTTTTTAATAAATGTAACATAGGGACTGGCAGAAATGATTCTGTGCAGCACTAGCACTATTTTCTCCTTATGCGAACAGTGAGGAAAAGCATTATATATTTTTATAAAGAAACATTTGAGTTGTTGGTATAAAGAAAGATAAATAGCTGCTAAATTTTTTGTTCACCTATAAATTAATTTCACATCTTTCCCAAGACAAAGCAGTTCAATCTAAGACTGGCTCACTCTACTAATGCTGAAAGGAAAAGCTTGTACATTTAAGGATATGCTAGAAAAGCCTAGAAAATCCATTAGAATGTTCCTAACACTCACCTATCCTACAATCTAGGAGGGCTCCTACTCCTTCCTGAATCAGGACAGCTGGCAGTACTTACTAATTCCCATTAATCCTCTTGACAATAATTAGCATTTTCCATAACATTTGGCCCAGGATTCTTCTGAACAGGTTAATGTTTTAATACTGTATCTGTGGGATATGCATCTTCTTAAACATCCCTCTCCAATATAGAGTAGTTTTTCTTTCTCTCTGCAGTTTTCAGTTGTTCCAGAGTAACATTTTTGATTGTTTTTCTTAGGTTTCATCCTTTTAACCAGGCTGTTGGCTGTTGCCTCTGGTATGCCATTGCAAACACAGCATTTTTAGTGGCATACCAAATGTCACCTTTAGCTGAATTCATCATACATGCATACATACGTACATACATACATACATACATACATACATACATTTCAAAGTCAGGCATGCAGAGAGAAGGCAAATGGCTCATGTGATTTCAGCATGAAAAGAAAATTGGAACACCAAATAGGATAAGAACTCTTGGGCAGCCATAGTAATAAGTGAAGACTAATTTACAAAAGGGTTTTGAGAAATGTATTGTAAGTAAAATGCTTGTTCCCGCTGGAAAAACTGAAGACCTGAAGCAGAAGTTTTTACATTCGTGTGAATCTTAAAAGCCACCTGGTCCGGGGTGATCCTGAATTAGCAACATGGAAGAAGACATCTGTCTTTCAGAAAGGCTAACTTGAGATTTTCCAACATTTTCCAGTGTAGCAAAGCACTTCCTGGCCTCTCCAAGCAAGAAGATTGCTGTGGGACTGTGGGAACTTCCTGGGGTTTTAACAAGTGCCAAAAATGTCCAAAGAAACCAGGTAAGCTTTTAACAATATGTTTTCTGTTATTTTGCGCAGTATACGTATATTTTTCTTTCAGAGAAAGTGGTGGAAGCATTTGGAAGCTTTTTTCCAGCATAATCTGAAAATCAATAAGAAAGTTGGATCTGTGTTATGTGCTTCAAAGATCTTTTCAGATGGCATTAATGTTTGCATTGAAGAAAGAAGAAATAGGGCCCATTTATATTAATTAGTCTATTTAATTAAAGAGGATCTATTCATAATGAGACTCCAAGGAGCAGAGAATTTCTCCTTCCTGTATTTGGTTGCAGTGTAGCTCACTATTTCATCGGGAGAAAAAAAAAAGCATTCAGGCACCTACTAATTTTACAAGAAAATAGAAGTGATGCATTCTAAGATCTCCAACAACCCATAAGAATAAAGGAGAAAACATCTAAACAAGACATTCAGATTTTTGACATATTCCCAGGAAACTGATTCCAGAGTTACTTTATTTCCATAATAGTTTGACTTTTTTTTAAAGAGAAATATTGCTAGTCTGATAGTAATAGTTGTTGAATGAAAATACAGTAGACTTTTTGTGGCTTCTGGTGTCCTGAATTCTGCTGCCTTCAAGACTGAAGTACTTTTAATGCTAATTGGGACTAAATAATTCCCAAAAGCAAATTAGCAGCAGCAACAGTATTAAGACACATTTAAATGTTGTATAACTTTTTATTTGGGATCGGGATTCCACTCTTAAAAAAAGAGGTGTGATATTAAAACAGATGGGCCATTTTTCATTTTTTTTATTTTGTTTCCTCTCAAATTTAGCTTATTTTGGATATAGCCAGGTAGTGGATTGTCCACAAGGTTACAAGAGAATTAATGCAACGTTTTGTCAAGGTAAGACATTTGTAGCATTTGTTTTGAGTAATTTGTCTGATTTATTTTTGTTTTTCTCTATTTAATTGGAATTAGAGGGGTATATTTGACCTAACCATTTTATTAGGAAAAAGACAAAGTTCTACCAAAAAAACAAGGATTATATGATTATCAAGAGCAAAAATAATTTTAAGTGCATTATTTGTATGTGTATCAATAAGTACAATAATTATATATTATATTATTTGTCTTAATAGTATGAATTCCCACTGCCAATAGCAGTGCCTAAGTATGTTCACATTCAACATAATTTAAAATAATATTATATCAATACTTAGTATTATACAGTAACATCAAATAATTTAAAAGCTTAACTTGGGAGTTTATAGAAACTAATAGTTAAGAAAATCCATCATGGTAAAATAGTTTAATTTGATTATGAAAATGGTTAGGACAGAGGACATATATTTTATTTTAAATGTATTTAACCTCTGAAAGACCTCAGGAGACTAGCCTGTGGAGACATGACATCATTTTATCAGGAGAAAATTAATTTGTTGATCTAGTTCTTTTCTTGAGAAACAACTTTTGCTAGCCTTAATGTACTGTCTTCGTCTATAATTTCCCCAACTCTGGGCTAAATATTTTGGCCATATACACTCTAGAACGGAGGTCTTCAACTTGGCCCTTTTATGACTCATGGACTTTAACTCCCAGAATTCCTCAGTCAGGCATGCTGGCTGAGGAATTCTGGGAGTTAAAGTCCATGAGTCATAAAAGGACCGAGTTGAGGACCTCTGCTCTAGAGCTAATCTGGAGACCACAAAATATCTCTGGCCTAGGGAGACCTCTTAAATAGGCAAACTTCATAGTGTGAATGCTATTACAAAAAGCATTCTTAGCCCAAAAGTCAAGTAGACTTTTGGAGGCAGCAGGTTGGTTCTTCAAGTGTTGTATATTCTATACAGTCACCCATTTCCTTCATTAAATTTAAATTAAAATATCAGTTTGATATAGTGCTTAAGGTGCTGACCTAGAAACTAGGAGACTGTGAGTTCTAGTCCTGTCTTAGGCATGAAAGCCATTTAGGTGACCTTGGGCCAGTTGCTCTCTCTCAGTCCAGCCTACCTGACAAAGGTGGCGCAGTGGTTGGAATGCAGTATTGCAGGCTAATTCTGCTGACTGCCAGCAGTTTGATTCTCACCAGCTCAAGGTTGATTCCTGCCTTCCATCTTTCCGAGGTCAGTAAAATGAGGATCCAGATTGTTGGGGGCAATATGCTGACTCTGTAAATCGCTTAGAGAGGGCTGTAAAGCACTATGAAGTGGTATACAAGTCTAAGTGCTATTGCTATTTCTATTGTGGGGGAATGAGGAAGAGGAAATAGTATTTATGTATGTACGTTGCCTTGTGTTATTTATAAACTAATAAGGTGGGATAAAAATCTATTAAGTAAAAAGTGTATTTATGACAAATGCTCATACATTCATCAACCTTAAAAGGTCTATAGATTTCACATAAAATTTGGACTACTGCAATGTACTGTATATGGGGTTGCCCTTGAACAGCATTCAGAAGCTTCAACTGGTGCAAACTGTGGCTGCATAGGTAGTAAGTGGTGTCAGATATGCAACACGTGTAACATTACCACTGCATGAGTTGCATTGGTTATCGGTGTGTTTCCAGATGCAATTCAAAGTGTTGGTTGTCACCTTTAAAGACCTATATGCTAGATTATCTAAGGGACCGTGTTCCCAATAGTTTCCACTTGGCCAATTGGGTCTGGCAGATTGGGTAGGCTGCAAGTCCCTTCAATCAAGGAATGTCAACTGGCAGAGACCAGGAGACATGTAGCCCGTCCTGCCCTTTGGAACCACCTCCCTTCAGAAAACAGGGTGGTCCTGACCCTGTTGACCTTTCACAAAGTTTTAAAAGTCTGCTCTTGTTCCCAGATCTGGGGACCCGAATGTGTTAGGGCCCCATTTCTTGTTTAAACTGTCAATTGTTATAATTTTCTTGGCTACTGGATACATTTATTTTTGTACTGCTTTTACTTGTCTTATTTATAATTTTATTTGTATTTCACATTTTGAACCGCCATCTCCCTCAAACAGAGACTCTGGTGGTATACAGTAAGTGTTTTAGAACTGTTTGCTGCCCAGAGTCAGTAGAATTAAATGGATGGCTACAGAAATTAATCAAATAAATAAATGGTTGGATTTGAATAATAGAATCAAGAAGACTTAAGCTTTGAAGGAAAATGATTGCTTTATGCTCCTCTTGTGAATCCTAATCCTTTTGTAACATCTACAGTTGGTTTTCTTTTTGAAGTGAGCACATCTTGTATTTCATTCAGTGTAGTTCTGCTGAACAGGGGATAGCTTTTTCTTTGCAACTAGATGTCTGCATTATTATCTCCAGAAAATCTGTTTTAAGTCTGTTGTTTACAGTGGTCTACATGTAATTCTTTGTATTAAAGTCATAAGCTGCTTATTCATCTTTCCGCTTATCTGTGATCAGGTCAAAGAGTTCTCTCCCATCTGAACTACGCATTGCAACTATTGTTCATAGCTGGTTGATACATGCTTGGATTGTTAAATGAAGTTTGGGATTGACTGTTAGTAAACTTTAACCATGTATTTGAGTTTAAACATATCCAGTGGCATAAACTAAAAAATGGAAGCAAATCTTGTTGTTTTTTAACAGATGGAAAGAGGAAGAGATAAGGAGAAGAGTATTCATATGTATTATTTTGGTGCATCCTGCATATTCCATTCAGACATTTGTGCTATAATTTGTTTCTTGCATGGTTATTAAATTATAATTTTGTGGAAGGTTGCAGTAGATGAGCCTTCTTATTAAGACAGGAGCTTTATGTAGGTGCTAGGAGATATTTATTCAATGCCATAGACTCTGTCTCTTGGCATCCCACTGATCCATTCTTTCCTTTAATTGTTTAACACATTTAACATCTGTTGAACATCTAAATGAAAGTGCTGAGAGAGTTCATCAGAGGTTTTGGGGTGGGATTCCACAGTATGTGGTATTCTGTTCTAAAGGAGCCACAGAAAGGGAACCATGGATGTACTGTGCAGATCTCTCTCTGCTTAGAAAGTGAAGGAACGTACTAATACTATCGAGAACACCTGAGTTAAAGTAAGTAGAGGAACAAATAAAAGCTGTGCAGTTGTTAATGTTTACTAACTTCCCACCTGAAGAAGGGGAAAATGGCGATGCCTTTCAAAAGCAAATTACAGATTTTTCCAAGAGGCCTGAAGCAATAGTGATGAGGGATTTAAATTCTTCTGTCATCTGTTGGGAAACAAACTCTGCCAGGCATAATCTTTCCAGGAAATTCCTGACTTGTCTTGCTGACAATTTTCTTCTTCAGAAAGTGAAGGAAGGCACTAGAGAATCAGCTGCTCTTCACTTGATGCTAACCAATAGGGAAGACTTAATTGAGAAAATTCAAGTAACAAATACTTTGGGGGGAGGTAACTATGTAATATTTGAATTCTCGGTTTTAAGAGAAAGTGCCCTGAGTTTAATCAAATGTATATATTAAAATCTTATAGTAATAAACTCAGAGCAACCATAAATTAGAGTCCAGGGCAAGAGGAGGTAATTGGAAGCAGAACTCAAGATGAGTAGTTCTTTAAAAATGAGATATTGAAAGAATATCAAATTCTTTCAGACAAATTCAGTGAGGTAAGAAATAAAAGACAGCAGAAAAAAGCAGTGTGGCTTTACAAAAAGCTTAGCGAAGCTCTAAAAGCAAGAAAGAATGCATACAAGAAGATGGGGGGGAAAATAGGTTGCCAAGGAAGAGTGAAGACATGGAACCCAGAACTGTAACTGGGATATCAGGAGAGCTAAATAATGCTAAGGAAAAACAGAAAGGACTTTTTAAATACTGTATATATTCAAAATAAAGAGAAAAGAATCAGTATAGTAGTTGCTCAGTGAAGTGAATGAAAATGCAATATAACAAAAAACAGAACTACCCAATGCCTGTTGGCAATTATGTAGAGCAAAATATTATTTTAATTTATTTATCAAATTTGTTTGCCACCCAAATCCCAGTGACTCTGGGTAGCTCACAACAATTATATATAGAGAAGACTGAAGCTTGAGATTGATAATAAATGAAATATCTATCTACTTCAAATCTCCAATGCCCTTTACCTTCCCAAACACTAATTCTTTAAAAATAAATTCTGTGGAAGTAACACAATTAGAAATATTTACTTTTTAAACCTTGTATTAACAAATAACATATAATGTACAGTTTTTCGGTTTAAATAGCTTTGTCATAGAAAGATCATCCAAATCATAAATTGTTTAGTTTGATGCACAAAAGAACACATTGTAGGTCACAAATTTAATCCAGTTGCTTTAGGCAGACTGCAGTCCAGCCAAAATGAAAAATGAAACATATTGATTATTTTTTGTTTCCCACTGACCCACCCACTTTCAGCCTGCTAGGATCAACAGGGGAAAAAAAGATGTAGGCTTTGAACTTCAGGACTGCTGTATGTAAGGGCCAACACTTTTTTAGTTTTATTGTCTGTAATAATACATTACCTCATCAAAGATTTCTGTCCTTCCATTTGAGTTCATATAATGGTTTGGGTTCCATAATATCCATCCTATAATTTTTTTATGAAGACTATTAGTTTAAAAATTAGATCTTGGTAGGTCTGATAATCAGGTCTGGGTTCTGAGTATGTTCACAGATAACAGATAGAGTTTAAACTTGATAGGTCTCACTTGGAATTGTATTTGATAAACCAAATTGCTGATGAAATTCAAGAATTGATTTCAACTTGCTCCAAATTTTCATCTCGCCAACAAAGTGTCCAAGGCCTTTACATATTTTTTTTGTGGGCTATGCTATAAAATTGAATGTGGCATATTCTTGGGTTCATTTCTGATTCCATTGCTATGATTGTGACCATAACTGTCAGATATCATTTCATCATGGTCTTTGGTGCTGATGGTCTGAAATTGGATTCAAATTGTTTAGAATATCTGTGCTATAAATATAATATTATGCCACATTGTTTCTCAGTATAGAAACAGAAAGACACAAACTGGATCTTTAGTGTCCTTTAAGATAGATTTTCATTGCCCATATATTTATATACTGTCCCAGACCAAACTAAAACTGCTTTTAAATAACAAATTTATTTTATGATTTTTTTTGATAAAGAAAGCATTTTAAAAGTGCTATTTTCACAGAGCCTTCATTTTAAGCTGATTCCATTCATAACTGCTTTAGCAGATTGGTTTCAATATAATATAGGCAGTTGGACAAGATGCTTCAAGTAGGTGATCACTAACTAATTAATTAACATGCAACAAATAGAAAACATACAGGGCTTTTTGCCCAAAGTTTGAAGAAACAATCATTTCAAAATGTTTTCTCCTTTTCCCATATTAAGATTTGTTATTTACTTTTAGGTCTCTGGATACAATTGCTTAATGCAAGATAATATCAGTATATTAGTTTCTTAAAGAGTTTACCAAGAAGCCACGCTTCATGTACAGTTATTAAACATTTGTTAAATTAGATATAAATTATTAAGAATTATCATTCTTAAACAGTAGTTAGTATCACAATTTAAAGTGCTCTGATTTTCTTACTAACCTACTAAAGAAAACATTTTAAAATTATTTAATCAGATTTACATTTCCCCTCTTATTATTTAATGATAGATTAGGCAATATTTTTTTAAAAAAAAACATGTCTGATCTACAGTACATTGTAGTAAAATAATAGATTTGTTATTCTTCAAGGATAGACATTCATATCCTGACTGTCATGAATCTCACTGTGTGCCTCCCCTACTAATTCATTGCCTTGATGTTATCTTTCAGGTACACTGGAAGCTTTATCCGGGGGGAAAAGCTGGATAATATAAAAAGATAATACATGAATATTACAGATACTCAGGAATCATGCATCATCAATAACTCCTAATATTCTTTTATATTAAAGAATATAGGGGAGAAATAGGAAGTAGATAAGTCCATGAAATTCTACTTTTGGATTGCTATAGGATACTTGTTTTATACTATACATATGGGAGATTAGTTGTTACTAGTCTGATAGTCATGATTGCAGATATCATATATCACCATCACAGCTTTACAGGATTTAATAGAGTTATGCTGTGCCTCGCCAACGTGCTTGAAACAATACACCAATTTATCTATGAAAAATTGTCCTGTTCCTATTTCTGAGGGATGAGTTGCCATATTATGTATGAACTGAATTAACACAGTTGATTGTTCATCTAGTGGGCAAATTGCAAATCTCTCTTCCTAAGGGAAGGTTTACACAGTTATGATCACAGCACATTCTGGTATTATAGTTCATTACCACGATGTACATTATATTGTGCAATATAATTACAAAGGACTTGCATGCCTGTTTTTCATTAAGAGTAATACAATGTCCTTGGACAAATAATTAAAATAGGCCAGGAGGATCGTCTGTTCTATATGTCAATATATGGAGTAAAATCAGGTTATAGTGACTACACTGATAAAATATAGATTTGGCAGATAAAATATAGTTTAAGATTTTTTTTTGTTCCCTGAAAGCACAGAAGGTTCAAAGAATAATATCAGGATTATTCAGGATTTTCCCCACTCTGTGGGTGTATTTCAATAGAGACCAACCACTGTTTAATGAGACCAACACAGCACTAGGGTTATGGGTTCAGCCCTTCCTTGACAAAATTGTTATTCTTTACATCTATTTCTTTCCAGATCATCAGAAAATCACTAAGTATTTGATGTATCTTGTTCTTAAATTAATACTTTAAAACTGAGTATCACGTGTAAAGTAAACTCATTGTTATAAATATAATACAAATAGCTTTGTTCAGTAATTGAATTATTAGGAGGATTTTATATTTTTTTAAGGAGGAAAGTATGTTGGATATGTTCACCACCTTGAGTTATTTGTTAAAAATAATAAAGGCGGGATATAAATAAATAAATATTAAAATTGGTTCATTTATATCTTACAAATCAATCCCACGTTGGGCATTGTCTGTGCTTTAAAGAGATAAGAGAAAAATGGGGATCAGATTTGTGAACTGAAAAATTCTGTAATATCTAGTGTTTAATAGAATTGTTTATAGATAATCTAATATAGATTTATTTAACTGACACCCAGTTGTGTTCCTTTTCAGACATTAATGAATGCCAGTTACAAGGGGTTTGCCCTAATGGTGAGTGTTTAAATACCATGGGCAGCTATAGGTGTACCTGCAAACTGGGATTTGTACCAGATCCTACTTTTTCCAGATGTATCCGTAAGTAACGAAAACAATCAGTACCATTTAGTTGTGTGTTTTCTCCCGGCCTTCTTAAAATTTGTATTGGAAACAGTTTAGTCATTGTTGATTTCAATGTTCCTGTGGCAGTTATTCTGACTAGGAGAAGTGTCAGTTCACCGTTTAGAATTGTTTTGCTTTAAAAGTTAACGAGAAATGCTAGTTTTAATCAGATTGTATGTTGTAGTAGAATCCAGATAGTTCATTTTACCAAATAAATAACAAAAACAAAATAAGTTCTTGGGATATGCACCAATGGGTCATTTGCCAACTCTCCCTGCCTCCAAAATGAGGCTTAATCAGTGGCTGAGTAAGATAACTGACTTTTTAAAAAAAATTATTAATTAAGGCCCACTGATCTCAATAGGGTCTGATTAAAATAAACAACCATAAGCTCATTTTTTTCCGAACAAATAACAAAAACAAAATAAGTTATTGGGGTATGTTTTAATATCTTATGATTTTATCAGCACTTAAATGCCCATGTGCTCATGAAATTAAGGGTTATTACTTATGCAAGAAGCATCTCAGACATTACATTGTTAATTTGGTCTTTTCATTTGCAAGAACTGCTGGATTATTAAGGATCATTCTCCTTCACCCTTAATAATTACTTTACTAGGTCTGTTATTTTATCCCTTATGCCATGCTATGAATGCTTCAGAAATGATTAGGAAGAAGTATTTTGGATCTTACATGAATACAGCTTTTCTTTTCCATTTATTAAAGCTTCCTAACTTTGCTAAGGAGACTCTTACAGCAGCCACAACTTTTTAAAGGGTTATTTGATTGAAAAGGGAAGAGGTATTATGCTCATGGAAAGTTTAAAATATTTCTTCCGGATCCTTTTCAAATCATGCAAAGTCCTGTTATATATATAAGAAATCAAATCCATTCTCTGTTAGTAGTCCCTTAGCTTTGCATATGTATAAATTATTTTCTTCCTAATGTTTTAATAACCCAGTGAGGAGCTGAGTGTGCTAAATAACTAAAGCATGTTTGTAATTTATTGCAAGGAAAAAAAATAGAAACACTGAGAGGGGAAAATGTAAAGGAGGATTCTGAAAAGATGGTTGGCTGAAACATTTTTTTCAGGAATGAACCAAACTCCAACAATTTGTTACAAGTCCCATTTGTGAGAACTTTTGCAAAGAGTTGTAAATTAAATAAAATAGACCCTTGTTCTCCTTGTTGCACTCACATTTTTAATAAAAGCCTTTTACATGACTCTCAAATGGTTCATAAATATCTCACATGCCCAATTCAAATGCGCTTAGATGTCTGCCTGCATGGAGTAATATAAGTCAGTTGGGCAATCTCTGAGCTCAGTGTTTTCAGATAAATAAGCATATTTTCCACAGTTGAAGTGATCCGTTCTCCTATCTGCCAAGTTAATGGAAACTGTTATTGGGCATATCTTTGACCAACCAGCCAGTTCACATGCTATTTTGCCAACATAATACACACCTGGGAATGACTTGAGATTTTTTTGTATAAAGAAACATAAGAAGATGTGGTTTGCCTTTGAAACTTGGAACAATGGTTCAGGAGTAGAATGTAAAACTTGACAGCTGATTAGTACCAAGCGAGAATCACTTTATTAATTCATGGATAAGTAGTGATTTCTTATAAAGGTTAAAAAATACAAATTAATTATTGGAAATAAGAATAAGCATCAAGTTGTGTGGTGTCACATGCAAGGATATTGTATCAGCTCGCAGTGATGTAAAGTTGCTGCATTCTCATTTTCTCTGCCAATAAAACATTGTTTGGTCTCTGGCATTATTTAAAACATTTGCTTTATTTTATAGATTATAGCAAAGTGGGTAACTATGACCCGTTTACAACTTGTGGACTTCAAGTCCCAGAATTCCTGAGCCATGCTGACTCAGGAATTTTGGGAATTGAAGTCCACAGGTTGTAAAGGGGCCATAACTGCTCACCTCTGGATTATATGGTTGTAATTGGAAGAGTTTTCCACACACATAGACCTTTTTTTTAAAAAAAAAATCATACTTATTGGATGCTACTGCAGATTAGTTCTCACCTATGAATTCTTGTTGTATGGAGATTCTAAAAGGTTCCCTTTCTTTTAATTCAGCCCTAGAATAAATATATAATAAAGTATGCTTTCTTTCTTTCTTTTCCCAAAGCCAGAAAATATAGAACTTTACAAAAGTAATAGAGGTGATAGCCGAGCAGCCATGCAGTTGCATATGGAAAAGCTTTCTTTTTAAAAATGATACAGTGAAATGTAGGACATATTATTTGAGTGGGGAAAGTAGAGGAGTGGAATTTATATGAGAAGATAGCAATACCACATAATGAAGTCTGTACACTTTTTCCTATTTGGATAAAATTAATAATGAATCTTGAATAGAGTTTTTACAGAATTCCTTAAATCTTTCTGCTTTTTATGTGTTACTGGAGAGACCGAGATTGGGAGAAGAGTCTTTATGGGAATCTTTGTGTTCTAAAAGTCACCTCTTTATTAGAGGTGGGCTGTTTTGCTCGTGGCTAAACTAGCCTGTTTAAAAAAAAAATGTAAAATTTAGTGCAACACATGAATGTTCACATTGTAAAAACTGATTTCAACTATAAAAGCAACATTCTAAAACAAATGCAGTTTCCACCACCACCCAAAAAAAAAAAAAGGCAAAAGAAAAAACTAACCCCAGATTGTAGGCAGATTTGGTTTAAGAAAACTATATGTGATGGAATGGGCCTGACACTGTATGATCACTTCATAGCTGTATTGCATTGCTGACTTTCATGCTCAGTAGAAAGATTATAGGCTGTTTCAGCCTAGACACCTAATAAACATTTAACAAGATCCTGGAATAATACAATGTGTTCCTTTATAGATACACTGCTGTTTTAAAACATTTTGAAGCCCAATAAATATATTGTCACTTTTTTTCTGGATTTCTCATTTCCAAGAATAAAGGAGAGATAAGTTATTGTGTACAAATGCAAACACACAGTTGGCTTGAAATACAGGAGCTGTATTTAAATTGATTGTGTACCTTACTTTAATTATAATTGGGCTGCATCTGCAAAAAAATTGTTTCAGGCTGAAATGTTTTCTTCCTATTTTTGTTTCTATGCAAATAGATAAAAAAATAACTTTTTCTAGGTTTGATAATACCTGAAGAATTACAAAGAAAAATGGTCTTTGATTTTCAAGTTGAAGAACATCAACAATTATTTCTTTAATGTCCTGTGTGTAATCATATATCAGAATATGGGTGAAATCTACCAATTACTGCTACTGTGCAATGTCTGTTAATTTAAATGGATAATTGTTAGGCTGATTCTTAATAGTTCCTCTGGGCTTAGGACAGAACCTTTGAACCATTCTTTCATAAATTAAATACTGTATGTATTCTGCTAAGAATCAATAAAAGCACTTGGGATCTAGGCAAGTCTTGGTAAGACCACCTGGGATCTTCTTTGAAAAGGCAAAATATCTTTTAAACTAAAGCCATGTCAAATCTGCAAAAAAACAACAACAACGGAATTCACTAAAATGAATATAACTATTCAGCCGTAGTCTTGATAAGTGTCTTTTTGTAGGACAGAAGAAACAGATTTATTATGTGAAATATAATTTATAACTTGATCCAGCTTGATGACAATGGCTTAAACCTTTGCTTAGCTATTATCATATCTGATTTGGCATTCTTATTCATTATATTTTTTCCATATTTTAGCATATTTCAAATTTCTTGACCTGCCAATATACAGTAGCTTGGTTTTTTTTATATAGTATCAGAAGGAGATACAATATATTCTAATTTCACCTTGACTCCTTGCTATCTGCTGTTATAATTATGTGTTTTTTTTTAGAAAATAGAACAGTAATTCTGTTAACTGAAGGAATTTCAGATTTTGGTGATGTGAATTTGGAAAGACTTGCAGAAAAAGAACAAAGGATTTGGGAAAGAATAGTGCTGTTAGCTGATCTTTTTGCCAATGATTTCAATTATGTGCATTGATTGATTAGTAATGACTTTAAAGAATGCAGTTTCCTTGGTGACCTTGAATGATCTTATCTATCAAGTCAAAATTGTCATTTTGTGATTCATTTGTGACATAGCTTTGTAATATGAGTGTTGGAAGTGAGTGTGTGTGATCTGTCAAAGTTCTGTATTTTTACTGTTCACCTGCTTTAAGCTTGCTTCTGCATGGGAATAAGGCATTCTCCTAATTTTGTGTTATTGGAGCATGGCCGCATCTAATTTGAACACTGGCTTTTACTTCTAAACAATTTGGGCTTTACTTTTGAACTGTATCAAACTGATGTCAGGTATGAGAAATGTTTTTAGACATCAGCATCCTTTTCTCTCTACTGATGTGTTGAAGTTTTTAATTTTCTTATTTGGTGGTGGAACTCCTGTGGTGTTTCTCTGTTTTGTTTCTCAAGTAAACTTTAGCGTCCTCCTTCCCTTTTTGCTGCAGTTGATAATCCCATGGTCATTGAAGAGAAAGGGCCCTGCTACCGGTATGTCAGTGCAGGAAAGCAGTGTATGCACCCTCTCTCTGTTCAGCTCAGCAAGCAGCTCTGCTGTTGCAGTGTTGGCAAGGCCTGGGGCCCCCACTGTGAAAAATGTCCCCTTCCAGGAACAGGTAAGAGGTTCCCAGAAAACGGATATATTTGCACCCATGTATATAACATACCACATAGATAATAACCTAATATCATTCACTATATTCTTGTAATAATTGTACCCCTTATCATTGGTAACCACAATAGATGAAGGCTTTTTTTCCTTCTATATTTTGCAATGACCAGCTTTCCAATTACAAAGCTTTCCAATTACAAAGCATTTGTTGAGTAATGTTTGTTACTGCCTAATTCATTTTACAAGATGGTCACAAATACACTAAAATGAGTATGTCTGGGAGAATTTTCTAAAGTGATATTGGTCTTCATGTTTAGACTTCAAAATATCCTTTGTAATTATCACAAAAGTGGCACTCCTAAGGTTTCTTGTCTGTATTAGGTGTCTGAGACAAGTTAAGGTGGGAAGAAGCTATGATGCTAAGAATGGGATACAAGTTTATTATAGATGAAACATGGATGGAATTAAAGGAGGGTTTTTTTGCCTCTGGATAAAAGTTTTGTGTAACAGAAATAGGAATTTTCAAGTCATTTAAATAATAAATTGCCCAATCAACCAAACAATATGTTGAACAATAAACTTATATTGGGAAATTTGATTTTGAGTAACTAATTTGGCTTCCAATCTCCTATTCAAGACTGCACTAGAGAGGAGACAGAAGCTTCAAGTCTCAGAATGCTTCATGTGGTCCTGATCCAGAATTTAGAATTCACTTTAAAAATGCCCATTGTTTGGTTGAACTTATTCTCAAATTGAATCTTTTTCTAGGAGGAACAAAATATCTTCCCAAGTAACTTACGCAATATTACTGTCATGTAATTTGTGATTTTGCTTAACAATAGAATACATAACATTTATAAAAAATGTTCTTCATGTCAGATTTTCTTTATTATGTTTTCCAATGTGTCAAAAATGTTACATTTTTAGATTCTTAAAAGGAATGTTTTCCCATCCCAAATCTAGCTGCTTTTAAGGAAATCTGCCCTGGTGGAATGGGCTATACGGTTTCTGGCTCTCACAGAAACAAGCTATACCATCACCCTGCAGTTAGAGTTCAGACACCTGTCTTTGGCAAGACCCAGATTACTCATCCTGTTGCTAAAGGTCCTTCTCCTCCACCTCTCCCAGCAAAGGAAGAGCCAGTGGAGGCACTGACCATCTCACAGAAAAGTGAGCCCGAGGTTGCTGTGCGAGAAGGTGAGAGTGGAAAAGGATTTCTTTATGCAGTTTAGTGTGTTTCTGAGTCTGTTCATGTGTTTCTTATTTCCTGTGTATTTCTTACAGTCTAAAGTTCTTGTATCAAAAGTGATGTCTACCAGCAGCCTATCAAGTATTGGATTGTATCATTTATTATAGGAACTGGTTTCAGACTCTACGACTTTCTGCCTATAAAAAATATTAAGCCCTTTGGGCAAAGAACTGGATCAGGTGACATACTCCCAGTAAATTATACATTTCTTGCAGATATATGCATGGGAGTAAATCTTAATTTCGTCCTTCCTTTTTTTTCCCCCCCACCCACCCAATCTGAAATTGAATTCTCTTGGTTTCCTGTTAAATGTTTGGAATCTTCTAGGTTTTCCAAATGAAACACAGCTTTTCACCTTTGCCAAAGCTTTTCACCATTGCAATTGTTACATGAAGTACTTCTAGATGTCAGTTTCATAGTTTTATGTCTCAGTCTTTGCATGGTTCCTGCAAATGCCTTTAAAATCAGCTGCTTCTAAGTGTCCTGTTTTTTTTAACATGCTTAACAAACAACAGCAAAGAGCTTGCCGCATGTGCAGAAATAAGTGCATTGCCAACACGCTATTGGTGAACAGAGCATAGACTAGTAGATACAGAGTGATATGCGGAGTGTTGTGATTATTTTGATTTTGAATTATTGCCCTTCCGGAGTAGCTAATATGTGATTGTATGCCAGTGTGTCTTGGATGGGCACTGAAATGATGCAGAAAGCACAGAAACCACAAATTCACTGAAATGACTTTGAAACCTTACATCATACCTATAAAATAAATTGTTTTGAGCTGGAAGTTTATGCCTGAATATCTTTAATTTAGAATGACTGGGTCTAATTTTGCATAGAATATATACTTGTTAATGTTCAATTGCCACTTAAATTGAGATTTCTGTTTTTAGTTATCATATTCATACGTTGTGGTTATCCTTTTAACCTTTGAAAAATACATTGTCAACCTAATGAGCATCTTGAACTGATTTAAATCCAGTAAAATGAGGTTTATTTTAAAAAAGTGTATAAAGCTGCAAAGATTTGTATAAAAACAGCTTAAATTAATGTGATTTTTTTCATGCTAACTTTTATATTGTGTTTTTTCATTTTAAAATGTTCATGATTGATTCCGTGTTAATAACAACTGATCAAAAATTATTTTCCTGTTAGAAGTTTTGTATGGAATTTTCTTTAAAACACAGAGCAATGTTTTGATATACAGGTGGAATGCTATATTGAATATCTCATTAAAGCTTTATTTATTTGTCCTTTAAGTCATGGGAGTGGACAAACTGTACCAGGAGATGCTAGTACTAAAGGTAAAATACTTCTTAAAAGGAGGATAAAGTTGAGACTAAGCCAGATGATGACCAACATATCAAATATTACAACTGACTTCACTACCAACCAGTTGTCCTTTTGCTCTATCGTGGAATCAAAATAATGTTTAGTTTTTATTGGGGTATGCAGAAATGAGTATCACATTTGAAGTTGAAAGTCATGCTACTAATATGGTGCACATTTGGTTTAATAGTCTTTGATGTTACCCTGTGAGTAAGAATATTTTTTTGCATATAAATAGGCCTTTTACCACTTCTCATATGAAGCTTTCTTATAAGTATCCATGACACTTTTCTGCATCTAAGAAAATCAGTGTGGCTTATTTTTTCATTATATTGCTCCAAATATTCCAAAATGTCCAGCAGATTTCTAATATTGATTTTTAACTGTCTTTTAGATAAAAATCCACATCAATCCTCATGAATGAATTCTTACAAAATTATTTTTAGTCTATCAGCTAAAATCTAGTCAAACAACTTGTAGTCATTATTAAGTAATGATTTCAGCCTATAGTATCTTGTTAAAGTCAAATCTAGTCCCTCTTTAAGTATTAATACTATATTGGCTTCTTTCCAAGTCTCTAGTTTCTTTCCTTCCTGTAGATAGAGTTCATTGTGTTTTGTAAAAATTGTATTGACTAGCCCTAAAATGTCCATCAGATCACAGAAAACATTTGGTAATTTACTCTGAATGAACACCACAATTCTTTTGATTTCTGGCAGCTGGAATTGCATTTTGTTGTCACTGATACATCCCTATGAATTTAGCTAATCTTTTGAAGATATCTAAACCACTAGCCTTTATTATAACTTCCAACTACAAATTAAAGACTATACAAAGCACTATACAAAGTGCTTTAATTTTGCTATTCTATATGCCCTGCTAACCAACTGTATTGTAATCCTATTCAAGTATTACACGATGAACATTCTAAATCAGACATGTCAAACTCGCGACGTCACGTGACGTTGCGCAACATATCGGAGCTTTTTCGCCGTTGCCGGCAATGGGGTGGGCGCAGCTCCGGTATGATGAAACCGGCCCGCAGGCCGGCAGTTTGACACCCCTGCTCTAAATAATCTCTGGTCACCCAGCTGAAGTCACTCAAATGATGTTTGCTTCTTCCTGCAGATAGTTATGTGTTCGATGTGTAGACATGTTGGCTTTTTCAGTTTGAGGCAACGAAAGTTATAAATTAGGACTAGTAGGAGTGAGCAAATCCATGTTGGTTTCTTCTTATTCCTTATTTTCCAAAATTTAGTTTGTTTTGTCTGATTTCTATATTAATTTTAAAGTTTACATGAAATTCATCAAGCACCTAGTCAATTTTGGCTGATGTAAAAAAATTAGCAGACTTGCATTTAATTAGTAGCTCCTAACTACACTTCAGCCTTAATGGTGAGAGCTTGGGATGGGAGGGTTGCCAGGATTGTGAACTAGAGCAGGGGTCTCCAATCTTGGCAAATTAAAGACCTGTAGACTTCAACTCCCTGTGCTAGCTGGGGAATTCTGGGAATTGAAGTCCACAAGTCTTAAAGTTGCCAAGGTTGGAGAAACCTAAACTAGAGGGTTAGTCAGGGAAATAAATAAAAATCTTGCAAAAAGAAGGCAATGACAATCATTTCCATACTATTGCTGTGAAAGATGCGTATGTTCCTATTTATAGATGATCCATCTGAAATCTTTATGATCCATCTACACTCTCTTTTAGTTTAAGCAGATTATGAACTAAATCAGGGGTCTCCAATCTTGGCAACTTAAAGAGTTGTGGACTTCTATGGTTAATTCCTTCCACCTTTTATGTTAATGTTAACTGCAGGAAGTCTTTGGTCTACACTGATAAATACTATCATTATTTATTAAGCTAAAACTCCACTCTTCTCTTGATTCACTGGGTAGGCTAATGTGACATCTTCCTCTCAGCTTCACCTGAATTTTTTAAATTAAAAACACAGTCATTCTTTTTTGTTAAAAAAAATGAAGTTGGCATACTAAAAACCATTCTACTGACCAATGAGCTATACACCTATACTGAAACTTAGATTTTAGCTCTGATGTTATTTGGCGTAGATGTTCTGGACCAGAAGCTTTGCTGATATTTTGAAACTCTGCATCCAGGCTGATATTGTCCTTAATGGCTTTCCCAGCCATTCTGATCTTTCCTAGTATGTTATTAGATTGGTTATTTGGCAGATTTTATTTTGCTGTTGAATTGCTGCAAAAGTGGCATCTTACAGTGCAAGATATCTGCATTGCATCCATCTCTAAATTTATTGGAACTACTGGAATAGTATTTACTCTAATTAGAATGGAATTCTTCAGAGACCTTGAGAAATTTCCAGTTGAGCAATTGGGGCTTTCTTTGGTGGAGATGAGTCAAATAGTTGGCATTGTTGTTCAAGAGAACAATCTTTTCAGTTCTCAGTGTTTATGATAAAGCAATGTTAAGAAATTCTCAGAAACAAATGACACTTTATTCTTAATATATAACCAACTAAAATAGATACATAGGATTAATCATTGCATAAAATACTGTCAATGAAGAAAGGTTTATTTATAGAGTCATTCATATGTATTTTAACTTGGATGTTATACAGTTGAATCAATGAACAGATAAATATAAGTCATTGTTAAATGGATTCCATTTGTTGCAGTCTGAGAATATACAAAAAGCAATATAGCAATAGCAATAGCATTTGGAGTTTATATAGCATCATATAGTGCTTTACAGGATTCTCTGAATAGTTTACCAAGTCAGCATATTGCCCCCAGCAATTTGGGTCCTCATTTTACCAACCTTGGAAGGATGGAAGATTGAATCAACCTTGAGCCCATCAGGATCAAACTTCAGATTGTGGGCAAAGTTAGCCTGCACTACTGCATTCTAACCACTGCGCCACCAGGGCTCCATAAACAAAAACAACTACACTTTTTAGTGTAGTTTTTTTAGTGTAGTGTAGTTTAATGTATTTTTTTGTAATACAATAAAACTGACCAGTTTTCAGATTTAACTGGCAAACCCTGACTTCAGCTGCATTCAATGGCAAGGATGGTAAATGGTAAATTAAAATTTAATCCAGACAACTAATGCGATTTATATAACATAACTTAAATTCATATTGGATAAACATGCTTGTCCCCCAAATAGTCATTTAAATACAGATTTACTCTACTCTACTCTTACCTTGCTTATATTATGTTGCAGAAGCTGAGTCCAAAAAGTTACTAATTTCTACTTGTTTTGGTTTTTTTAAATAATGTCTTTATTAATTTTCAGTATCAAATGTTAGAATACAACTAACATAAAAGGGAAAAGGAGTAACAAAACAAAACTGACAAAAAAGATATTTTATAGATTGATGTTATTTGTTTAAATTTAGATAAAGGTGGTTGTATTGTTATTATCTCTGTACTAAAAGATGGAGATCATTTTTGTTATACATTTGATGTAAAAAGTTAGTAGTATCTACTTGTAAAGGAAGTGTGATCATAGTGCACTATCATTTCTACAAATTATAGATCTTGTGGATTAAAATAAATATTGGATGGTGATAAATACCCCACTTATTGCGCAAGGCACTAGAGTGGATAATTTGGATTTTATTGACAATATTAGTCTTCTGGTACATACTTTCTAATGAAGATTAGAAATAGTGCAATATTTCCTATCTGTAATTTAATGCTTAAAATCTGCTATATGGCCCATTGTTTTTGTGTTGCAAAGTTCATCAGAGGCCATTTATTCTGTCTTTTCATGGTCAGGTGAATAGCTAAACCTTTTAAAGTATTTGCTGGGTTTTTTCTTCTTTTTTTCTCTTCTCCCTTTTTCTCTCTCCCTCTCCTTCTGCTCTCTCTTGCTCTCAATAATTTCTGAATGCATTACTGTTTTCTTCTGGTTCCCTGCTTTTGTGGGTGCTTTTAATTATTCATGAAAGACATTACTGAAGAATGTGATCTAATTTTAAATCAATTAATCAATCAATAGCATTAGTCATGGCAGAGTGGAGAAATTACACTCCTGATGTGCTTATTTTGGATTCATCAGAAATGTTATGTCTGCACCAATCCTAAGAAGGGAAATTGTTTTTCCAGTAGAAGTGCAACAAAATTTAGCAAAGCATTTCCTGGCATGAATAGAAATTTTTAAAAAGCACAAGGAATCTTTGTGGTCTTATGATTGTTGGTAAATATAACAGCTCCCATGGTGTTTCTCTGCCTCCTTTATGTTACGGTAGACTGAGATTTCGTCATCAATCGAGACTGGACAACCTTGAGGATTGTACTGTACATTATAGACCCACAAGATCTATAATGTTTAATAATAATAATCAGCACCAGCCAATTTGAATGCTCAGTTGACTGAGGTTCATGTTTAATGAATAAAAGATGATAATAATAATAATAATAATAATAATAATAATAATAATAATAATAATAATAATAATAATAATAATAATAATAATAATAATAATAATAATAATAGTTGGAAGGGACCTTGGAGGTCATCTAGACCAACCCCCTGCCCAGGCAGGAAACCCTATACCATTTCAGACAAATGGCTGTCCAGTCTCTTCTTAAAAACTTCCAGTGTTGGAGCATTCACAGCTTCTGGAGGCAGGTTGTTCCACTGGTTAATTGTTCTAACTGTCAGGAAGTTTCTCCTTTGTTCCAGGTTCCTTCTCTCTTTGATTAGTTTCTATCTGTTGCTTCTTGTCCTGCCTTCAGGGGCTTTGGAGAATAGCTTGACTCCCTCTTCTTTGTGGCAGCCCCTAAGACAGTGGTGGCGAACCTATGGCACGCGTGCCAGAGGTGGCACTCAGAGCCCTCTCTGTTGGCACGTGCACCAGCACCAGCAGTAGCAGGTCCATCAGGCTGCCACCGCTGCCCGGAGCAGGAGCCCCGCCCAGCACAAAGGAGACGAAGTGGCTGACTAGCAAGCTCAAGTAGAGGTGGTAGAGCAGAGGTCACCAACCAATGTCAATTGGTGGACTGGAAGAAAAGGGAGGGGGAAGAATTTTACATGTGTGCATGCGCACATGGGGTCGCGAGCACGCACGTGCTACAAATGGGGTGGGGCTAGTGCCTGCGTGATATTCACTAGCCATGCCCATTCTTGCATCGTACAGCACCTTGTATCTGTACCCCGCGGTGCGGCGGTGACCATTTTTGCGCCCCCTGTTTTTGAGTGCCAGAGGCAGCACTCAGAGGCGACTCCCTGCCCCCCCTGAGAGCACCACAATGCTGATGCGACCCCGGCACTTTGCGATAAATAAGTGGGTTTTGGATTGCGGTTTGGGCACTCGGTCTCTAAAAGGTTCGCCATCACTGCCCTAAAATATTGGAACACTGCTATCATGTCCACGCTCGTCCTTCTCTTCATTAGACTAGACACCCAATTCCAGCAACTGTTTCTTATATGTTTTAGCCTCCAGGCCCCTGATCATCTTTGTTGCTATTCTCTGCACTCTTTCTAGAGTATCAACATCTTTTTTACATTATGATGACCAAAACTGGATGCAGTATTCCAAGTGTGGCCTTACCAAGGCATTGTAAAGTGATATTAACACTTCACGTGATCTTGATTCTATCCCTCTGTTAATGCAGCCTAGCACTGTGTTGGCTTTTTTGGCAGCTGCAGCACACTGCTGGCTCATATTTAAGTGATTGTCCACTAGGACTCCAAGATCTCTCTCACAGTTGCTACTATTGAGCAGGGTACCACCTATACTACACCTGTGCATTTTTCTTGCCTAAATGTAGGACCTTACTTTTTTCACCACTGAATTTCATTTTGTTAGATAGCGCCCAGTGTTCAAGTCTGTCCAGCTCCTCCTGTATCTTAAGCCCGTCTTCTGGACTGTTGCCTATTCCTGCCACCTTGGTGTTGTCTGCAAATTTGATGAGTTCCCCATCTATCCTCTCGTCCAAATCATTGATGAAGATGTTGAAGAGCACTTGGCCCAGAACAAAGCCCTGGAGCACCCCACTCCACACTTCCCTCTATGTAGACGTAGTTTGTGCCTCCCCACCTTACCACAAGCCAATAATGAGCACAAATGGTGAACTTGTAATATTACAAAAGTAGGCAGGTATGATATTTTTTTCTCCCATTTTGACTGGTTTGAGCGGACCTTAAAGTTCACACCCAGAAAAGATTAAAAAAAACAACAGCCTGTTTTTCAGGGATTTTAGGTAGTCTAGAATGTTTTAAGCTTATTCAAAGTTTAAGCACTCATTTTGCTCCTTAAAACAGCGGTTTTCAACCTTTCCAGCTTTGTGGACCGGTGGCAGGGGGGAGGGGATGGTTCCACACGAGTGGCGGGCAAACATGCCCAGACGCGCAGCTCTATTTGCGCAGGCGGCAGGTGCACATGCACGCTGCTCACACAAATGGAGCTTTGCACATACACACGCTCGTCTTCCGCTTATGCAAGTAGAGGTGTGTGCACACGCTCACCCACTGCTTGTACAGCCTGGTTCTGAATGTGCCACGGCTCAGAGGTTGGGACCCCTGCCTTAAAATCCCTAATTCCATAAAAAAAACCATAAATGAGCGTTTCTTCCTATTCTGGGGAACTTTGGAGACTGGAGATGGGGTGTTGAGGCTGCAAATTGCCAAATCATGCAATTGAGGGGATAAGAAGGAAAATCAGTAGAATTATACATACAAATCTAATTGGGTATTTATTTACTTTGCCCTTTCTTTCTTTCTTTCTTTCAGTTTCTTGTTCAGCTTGACAATATTAACCACTTATTAGTCAGCTTCAATGTATTACTTTTTGTAATTTTAAATTCATTACAGTTTATATATTATGCAATCTAGAAAAGCACCTTACATCGCAGGTGAATTATATTTTAGGAAACCTTTTCAATTTTTCCATGTTTTGAAGAATATTGTTTACTAGAATGGGAAGAGGATCTGGAAAATGTACATATTTCAGTGTTCATACAATATACCTGTGATATCCAATGAAGCTTTGGGTTGTAGTCTTAGATCTGACGAGCCCATTGAAATCTGTGGAGGCTGTGCAGGTGCTGTGCCTGGTTGATTATGCCCAAAAATGTTATATGCAAGAACAAGACAGGTGTATTGGCATATAAATCTGCATGTGCATATTTTAAAAGTATATTGAATTACAGGGGTAAATGTCATAGAAAACACAGTTACATCTATTTGAATGTGGAGGATATGTGTTACCCCAAAATAAATAGGAAGCGTTATTAGAAGGCGAAGGTGAAGAAATGCTTAGCATTTCTGCTGTAAATATCTTTTTCCAGCAATGCTTAAGCAATGAAGTTGATTGTCATGCTTTCTTCAGTTATATGTACTGTACGTCATTCAAGATATTTCCATGTATGGCACAATAACAAATGGGTAAACTATAGTAAAGGTTCAAATTTAGAATAGATTTCTTTAAAGACAATTTTTAGATTATTTTTTTTTACTATTAGTAACTATACCTGAATGTTCATATTTAAATTTTAATATCCATCTGGAATTTTATATGTATGCTGGATATTTCTGAGGGTAAATGCAGCTAGCAGTATAGATTAGATCAGACATGTCAAACACAAGGTCCGGGGGCCGGATGCGGCCCGCAAAGTGGTTTCATGTGGCCCGTGAAGATATCCTGGAAACAGTGAGGGAACGGCCCCCGCTGCCTTGGCCCTGGCCCAGGCCAGCCGGGAGCCAATGTACAATTTTGTGGTGGCCATCTTGGCACTTGCCCCAGTGGTCCATGCCTTGGCACTTGCTCCAGTCCCACCCCCTTCTGCCAGAGACCCTCAGATCTGTCCCACTCCTGCCCAGGCCCCCATAGGCACTCTTGACGCGAATGATGTAGAACTGGCCACGCCCACCCAGTAGGCCACACCCACTCCATCCACACCTACCCAGTGGGCTGCACCCACTCTGGCCACACCCACCCGGCTCCCCCAGGGCAACCGCAATGCTGATGCGGCCCTCAGTGAAATTGAGTTTGACACCCCTGGGTTAGATGATTCCTCTTCACTTCAATTTTATGATTTGGAAGAAATTCAATGGTGCTTTTAACATGCATTATTAGAATTGTTAAATGTGAAGTGGATTTAACATTGGCTATTAATTTAGTAAGCTGTCTATATTTTTAGTAGTGCCTATCTCATATAGAAATACTTTTCTTTCACTCAATAGTGGTGGAGAAAACCTCTCCCCCGCTGCCCGTAGAAGTTGGACCAGATGTCTCCACTTCAAGTGCTAGTCAAGTGATAGCACCAACTCAAGTTACAGGTATGATGCAATAATCATTGGTGGTACAAATTGGCGCATAGTACAACAACCAGTGGGATGTTGTTACTGCGTCTTAGAAAGTACAGATCAACAGAAGAAAATAATGAACCCACAGGGTTCATTTTGGGGTGGAGAGAATGCTCTGTGCAAATGCCTGCTTTTGTGCTTCAAAACACTGAAGGATTTTTGGTAGACGGGGGGATAATGTTTTCTGCTAGTTCTTACATTCTGGAGTGATTTTACAAGTTTATATATTATGCCTAGATCACCTGCAGTTATTCTGTTTACGAGAGGTTTCAGGTTTGTCCTTTAAAAAACGCATATCTAGCAGTGTAGTTTATTTTAATATTTTTCTCAAGGAATTGGGACTTGCGTTGCAATATAGTACATTCATTTTGCATATTACTGCAAATTATTTATTAACACGTGCATGTAAGAAATGGTACAGAAAGTTATTGTACTCCTTTTCTGTCCTAAGATTTCACAAAATCTCACTGTCCTCTAGTGCAGGGCTTTTCAACCAGTGGTACGGGTACCACCTGTGGTACATTGGCACCTGGCAGGTGGTACGCGACCATCCTAGAAAAGTGGTAGCAGGGGAGGGGAATGAGCTGAACTGGTGGCAGCACCGCACAAGCCTGAGCGAGAGATGGCTGGAGCTGCAGGGCTTTCAGGGCTCAGTGGAAGCACCAAGATCAGTGCCAGGCTCCAGCTGGAGCTCGGCGCTGATCCTGGCGCTTCTGCTGAGCCCAGAAGAAGCGCCGATCAGCTGGAATGTTGCAGCATCTCCAGGGTCTTGTGATTTACATTCAGATGCTTGGCAACTGATTCATATTTATGACAGTCACAGTGCCCAGGATCATGTGAAGTGACCAAAACCTGTTGCAACCACCCAGCAGATGGGAGGAATAAAAAACAAACACTCCCCCCACCTCACCGCTGCTGCCAATCCTCAAAAGAAATGCTCACAACAATGAAAACCTCGGAGAGGAGGAAGAGCGCCACCGGGCGGGCGGGCAGGCGTCTTGCTCGGCTGTGGCTTGGGGGGCACTTTTTTCAGTGCCGTTGTAACTTCGAACAGTCACTAAGCGAACTGTTGTAAGTCGAGGACTACCTGTACTTTATCACTTTTTTCCTTTATTTATTTATATATATATTTTTGGTCATCAGGTTTTTGACACCTTGCTAGGCGACTGGTGGTACTTGGATGTTGCCATATCCTAAAAGTGGTACAATGGGTGAAAAGGTTGAAAAGCCCTGCTCTAGTGCCTAAGACATGCTGCTAAAGTGAACAACTGGATAATTGTTTCCTAAATTCAATGTTTAATTAAATGAAGTATAAAAAAAAATCACTCACTGAAAAATTGAATTTAATTGAACATTGAGAATCATGTTCAAAACTTGTGTAATGATATGTGTGTGTGTGTGTGTGTATTCCTTAATTTATGACTGGTCACTTAGTGAACATTTGAAGTTACAACTGATCCTCAGAAACTACTTACGACGAGCCAGACCCCTTCTGCAGTCATGTTACTGCATTTATGCCATTTGAAACGGCCCACATGACTGCAATTATTGATATATATATTTTTTCTGTAAACCAGTGTTTACTTCTGACTTCTGGGGGAAAAAACACCCCATAGTGAACAATGGCTTCATTTAATGACTACAGCATTCACTTTACAACCATAGCATTTGCTTTATGACTGTTGCAAAAAAAGGTCATAAGAACGAGTCCAGTCATGTAGTGACCCAGGTTACAAATCATAGCTAGACCTTGTCCAGAATGGTCTGTCTCTAATCTGATCAATGACATTTTCTAACAGTGTACAATAACTACAGTTGAGTGCATTCATTAGTACATTATGTGTAAATGCAACAACCGGAAGGAAGGCCTTTACAGGAATTTTATCTGGATGCTTATATTATATTCCACTTTGCTGTGAAATCATTTTTTATCAACACCAGTAGAATTCAGTAGAATCACTGAATTGATCCTAATTAGTTTCTGTGTTTTTTAATCTTTCTTTTAAAATGGATGATATCTTAAAATGTTTCAAATGGTTTACTACAAGTATTTTTCCATTTATTTAGAAATCAATGAGTGTACAGTAAATCCAGACATCTGTGGACAAGGACATTGTATTAACTTGCCTGTGGGATACACCTGCTTATGCTATGATGGATATAGGCTTAATGATCAACAAACAAAATGTTCTGGTAATCCACATTCCCTGTTGCCAGTTGCTAACATGATGCATGGGAGAAGGTCCTGGAAAAAATACATTTCTGTTTTGTGACTATAGCAAATAAGAATGGTTCTTCTCTTTGAGGCACATAATGCGAGTCAAAATATAATTTTAATTTATTTTCCCCTTCTCCTTCCCTGAGTTTCTATATATGCAACACCTGATTTGTTTATTTCCTTTATAGACACAGAATTATAATTTGATTTAACCACTTAAATGAAGAAAATTGGAAGTTTCTTGAGTAATCACTCAAGAATTTCATAATTTCATAATTGTGGAATCCTAATACAAACCTAAGCAATTTTATGATAGATTTACTGGATAGATATTTGCAAAATAAACCCTCAATATTTAAACTCCTTATATAATCTCACATTAAATCTATATAAATAAAATAGAGCAATCTTTACCTCTCCTGGTTTCTAAAAGATTGCACAAGCATACAATGCTTGATCCTCCTATTATAAATATATATGTTCATCTAAAATATCAGCAAATGTAGTAGATTTCATCTTCAAAAAGCTTAATGCTCCGAAACTTGAAGCTGGTAAATATGTTTTTTAAATCAAATTTTATATGGAAACCTATTTGAAAATGGTTTTTTTATTTCAGTAGGTGCTTAAGTACATTAGGGGGAGTGAAGTGATGGTAGTGTTAGAGTACAGAGGGTTTTTTGAGTCTTCATATATTTTTATTTCTTTAACAGATATTAATGAATGTTCTCAGACTCCTCATCTCTGCTCCCTTGGGCGTTGTGAAAATACAGAAGGAAGCTTCCTGTGCATTTGCAAGGCCGGGTTCATGGCCAATGAACAAAGAACAGATTGTGTTGGTAATTACTCTCCTTTATGAGGCAGCTTCTTAATCCTTAAAGCTAATGATCAAGAGCCTGAATCTGAAATATATTGGTGTGATTGGAAACAATTTAGATTGATTCAGGAAAGAATTTGATGAATAGAAACACTGCACAATGCTGCACCCCATACTATAGGGGTAGTTAATATTTGATCACAGTTACTGAGGAAAAATTATTGTTCACAATATAGACTTCAAATACATATTTGTACTTCCTTGACAATATGGTATAAGATCTAATGTCTGCACACGAGAATAGAAAGAGGGTTAGTGTTAGAAGCAAAGTTTTTTCTTCAGTAGACTTTGAAGTTAATATAATTTCTAAATGGCAAGAACAATGTTTACTGTAAATATTTCTAGATATGCTGGAAAAGTCTTTGTCTGAAACCCTGAAGAGTTATTGACATCTATATAGGTTATATAGACATATATAGAGGTATATCTATATATATCTGACTAAGAGCATTTCTGGTAGACCTCAGTCATGGCAACCTCTGTTGATACCCAAGCAATAAAAAACACTTTTACAAATTGGGGATACTGCAGATCAGACCCATGAGTTACAGGTAATATATGATGATATTTTTGCAAGGACTCAGCTCTTCTGAATTAAAAAAATTAAGATCTAAAGTAAACCATGTATTTAGTATTCTATGAGTGATATGTGTCTGTCTGTCTGTCTGTCTGTCTGTCTGTCTATCTATCTATCTAAATTGCTGTATCTTTTACTTAATGTTTATATTAAAGTTATCACAAAATTGGATTTTTAGATGTTGATGAATGTGCCAGGCCTGATATCTGTGGAGAAGGGCTCTGTGTAAACACCATTGGTTCATATAAATGTGAATATTGCGACAGGGGATTCCAGATGAACAGAAGGGGCCAGTGTGAAGGTAGGTTTTAATGTCCTCTAAACAAATTTCCTGACTACTTAACTTTTAACTATGCTGTAATTTTTTTAGCGAAAAAATATCACCGGTAATTAACCATTAGAAGTGTCCACAACTAACCAAGATGACAAAAGCATGTATCATGACATCATAATCCATCCCTTACCTACTTGCCTGCAACATTTCAGTGGAAGTACAGAAAAGACTGAATTTGCTCTGCAGCACATATTTCGTCACTTTCCTCCCTTCAGCTAACACACATATAGGCCATATGCTATGGGGAGTAGCACAAGCAAAACAACCCTTACCTCCCCTTTCCACGTGCTAACCCATAGGAACACTATAGTCCATATCAAAATGCTCCTTGGCTCCTATAGCCTCAGCTTTCCTTTCCCCTTTTTCTGGGTTGTTGGAGATAGTTCAAAATAAAGTATTAAGATGTAGTTACCTGCCATTTTTATTTCTGAAGAATGCTTCCAGGGCCAATTCTTTCAAAGTAATTCTGGAAGCAGTATTCTGCCAATTTTCTAAGTTCTTTTTGTTTTTTTTAAATCTATTAAAGTTCTGGAGGGATTGAGAACCTAGTGGACAACATGAGACACACCTACAAAAGCAAGTTTCAGATCTTACAGTATCAGCATGGCTGGAAGCCAACAATATCAGTAGCCTCAGTGCTTCAAAAGACTGGTTTCTGTGTTTTGGGGATAGATTTCATTTATTATACAGTATCAACTCTTTAAACCCTATAAAACCATAAACAGTTGAATGGCTTTGTCTTAGAAACGATATTATCTTTTTAATTTGTTGATCTGCTATCCTGAAATTGTTTATAAGGTTGCTATTTCCAATGAAGTTAATTACTTTAGGGTTATGTAACAGCAAGAATTAAGTAAAAAAATCTATTTGTAGTTGGAACAGAACATTGGCAGAAAAAATCAGTTTCAAAGAAAAGAATACAAAACTGGGGGGGAAATGTGAAATTGGTTTTTGGCATGAAGTTTCCTGGTTTTGAATTGGAAATCAATGTAAATTTACTTGAAACATTAAAATAAAGTCTTTATATTTTCATTGTCCTTATCTACAAAATATCATTTTTATTAAGAATATAATCTTTTAAACCTATCATTTCTAGTTCAAATAGCTTTAAAATGTGTTGTGTCTATGTGGTGTAGATATGAAAATTATGGACATGTTGCCATTAAAGTTGTAATAGGAGAAGTGGAGAGCTGGACACCAAGAAATAGACTTAAACAACTTGCAGCTTTATGGAGGAACATAACATATTCATTAAATAATGAATCAATGAAGAGATGGGTTAGCCTCTTCCTGTTAATTGCTTGGGAAAGCTGATACTGGAAGTCAGGCACAATGTACCATTGGCTTTGCATTGGTTAAGCTGAGTTGCTGATAGTTATCCTTCTTGCAGTAAGTTGCAGGTGTGAAGTTATCATCCATATTCTTTGCCTGTAGCTTTGCTTGGAATTACCTGCCTTTTCAATCCTAGCTGATAACTACTTGTGCCTTATTGGTGTTCCTCATTCATGACATTCCCCATTGTCCTTCTTACATCTGTTCTCATATTATGTGTAATTGTATAAGTCTCTTAGCTGCAAAGTTATGCTTTGTACAAAAATCTTAGTGGAGATGAGTTTTGTGGAAGATGCAAGGAGGGTTTAACTGATAAGGCTATAATTTAATACTCATGGAAAAACTATATTATTATGTATTTTTTCTGCATTATTGTTAAGCCACTGGGCTTAGATTCAAGTTTTTTTCCTAATACAAAAAAAAAAACCCACCAGGAAGCACCAAGGACAAACTTCTGCTTGCTTTCAGAATAGGACATTTGCAAACATAATATTGCTTAGACAAGAATGTATTTACAGCATCTTTATTTCTTAGTGTCATGTAATCATTAATCTCTATTAATATCTTTTTGTTGCCTTAAGAAATTAAAATCTTTAAATATAGTAAGAAGTAAATATATGCATCAATGGAAATAACTCAGCCATTAACGTATTTACTGCCCTATTTCAAAGGAAGTCAAAGTCGAATCTTTATTCTTTTAGAGAGCATGGGAATTAAATTGAGAAATAGTTCCTTGCCTGTGACCACCGTGAAAACTGTATGGATTAATGGAGATCGAATTCTAGTTTTTAAGCACTAAAAATACACAAATTGAATATGTTTTGAAGAGGAATCTCCTGGTTTTGAATTTGAAAATTTCAAATGCTAACTGGGTACTTTAAATGTGAACTTTGTTTGAAAAAGAGTTTTGTGATCGAGATGAAGCATTTCAAACTCAAAATGGTATATTTTGAATTTGACTCAGTTCAGATTCAAAATGTTTTGAACTTCCTACAAACTGCCAAACACAGCCTACTTAACATTACATAATATATGTCAGCAGATCTATGCAGTTTGTATTACAGTATTTAAGAATCTGGTCTCTAGTGCCAATTTTTGATACCTTTCTACATACTATTATTGCTTTGATGTGCATTTATTCACTGATGTTTTGTTTTTATAGACCTTGATGAATGCTCAGTCCCACATACATGTCCAGATGCAGAATGTATTAATGCTCCTGGTTCTTACCAATGTGTCCCTTGTAGAGATGGATTCAGAGCGTGGAACGGAAAGTGTCATGGTATACATTTTGTTCAATTTTTTCCCACTAAAATCCTGTTGAAATCAGTATAAAAAGTACACATAACTCAGTCTATGGGAGAGATTTTTGTGCATATTTCTCCTGGATATATGTATTTTTTCCTGGTATTTGCATTTTGGGTAGACTGTTTTTCCTAAGATTTTGTTGTTGTTTGCTTATATTTTTCCATAACATGCTTGGTTTTATGCATATGTTTGGATTGTGAACTATATTGCAAAAATATGAAAAGAGTAGACTTTGCTACTTTTCTCATTAAATATTTACCTCAAAGAACATTCAAGAATTCCACTGTAAAAAACTGATTGAAACAGTTAATATTAAGATAAAGGCTTACAATATGTCACGCAGAATATCTTTAACATATTTTGTTACACTTTCATGCCAGTTCTTTGGTATGAAAATTTAGCTCAGTTTTAAGTCACCTAGATTTTCCACTTCTTAGTTGCCTTTATTTTTTTGTTCATTTGTTTATTACATTTTTATGCAACCCTACAAGGTGACATTGGGCTGCTTACAAGTTATAAAACAAGTAAAAAATAGTTAAAAGATTAAAATGACACAGATTAAAATATTATTAAAAACTATATTATATTATTGTTAAGTTAGTGAGATGCTATTTCTGAGGCTATTGGCTAATGGTGGGCAAAAACTTTATTGCTTGATTAAAATTCTTAAAATAATAGCCTGCTCTGTACATTTTAGTGGTGAATTCAGCTTTGCAAATACATTTATTTATTTAATCTGTATCCTTCATTTTAGTAAAACTTTTAACAATATTAAAATAACATATTGTTATTTTTGTTGCAATAATAATAAGCATGAAACACAAAAATAAAAATAGGAACAAACAATAACTTTTGCGGTTTAATCTTTAAATAACTTTAAAAGATAAATTATGTCCTATAACATTTAGCAGTCAAACATCACAAAATGTTCCAGAAGCACAATAACTGCAGCCTACTGAAAATATTTCAAGTTTTCAGTAGAATGTATTTGGAAAGTTTGGAGGTGGGAAATTTGAAGTTTGTCTAGTTTTCTGATCTCCAAATGTATTGGTGAATAAAGTAGGACATATATATGTATGATGTATGCATGTATGTGAAGGACAGTTCCATGTTCGATCAGATATCAGATTTTGGGCTTCAGTAAAGGTCTGGAGAATGAGGCTGGTTGCCTGGCAGATGATTAGATTTTTAGTGCATAAAGAGCTAAATGTAGGACAGTCTTGCAAAGATTATGTCTGCACCTCAGAATAAGTCTTAAAGTTTTGGAAATGTTGGCCTGCTGCTAACAATAACAGCCTGTTTCTCTTTCTCATCTTTCATAATAACCAGACATCAAGACATAACAAAATAAATGTCGTGGCATTTTTGCATTCTGAATTTCCCCGATCCTGCTCAATTTCATCTGATGTGCATTTTCACCAAGTCATGCTTGTCATGCTACTGTTTATCCAGGAGTGGAGGAGGATACCCATGGTTGATGCTTTTGACATTGGCCCTGTGTGTCTAAAAAGATCTTTGCTTGGCATCATTAATAATAAACTGAAGCCAGAGTGTAATTCGTAGTTTACCAAGGAAATATATTTGAGCCTTTGACTCCTTTCCACACCCATTTCATTTCAAGTTTTCCATAGCTCTATCATAGGCTCATATATAATAGTAAAAGAACAAAAATATTTCAAGAGCTTGGCCTGGCTCCTTCAGTCTGATTACATAAACAGCATTATCTATCTATCTATCTATCTATCTATCTATCTATCTATCTATCTATCTATCTATCTATCTATCTATCTATCTATCTATCTCAAACATTGTTAGATTTTTGTCATGACTCAAGGCAGTTTACGGAATATAAAAATAAGATCTTATAACTCATTGTCAGCCTGTGTGTGCTGATATTTTCACCGCTTTGTGACATGCAGGCAAGGAGAGATCCTCCCTATACTTGAAAGTGCAAGATATTCCTCCTAGTCCCTACCTCTAGACTTTATATGGGATGGGGTCTTGATTCTGCTCGGGAGAGACAAACCTGCAAGTACACGAGTGCCAAACCATCTATTTTAAACCAGCACCTTGAATTGAATTGAATTGAACTGAGCATGGAAACTTATTAGTTACCAATGTAGTCAGCTCGGCATAGGTTTAGCGCTCTGGTCCTATATTTTTTTATAAATTGAGGAAAATGTGCTTTATTTTTTTTATGAAGCTATTTTTTATTTTCTTTAGAATGTATATCATTGAATAAATTAGCTAGAACATATGAGAAATCGTTTTCTGAAAAAAATCCAACTAAAAGAAATGATATTTTCCGGTATTGTCTAGAATCTTACTGCGTGGCTTTTAGCGTCTGGCTGCAGGGAGAGATAATTTTATTATGTTGGCACAGACTCTGGCTTTTGGCATCTTATCCTGTGATGTCTGCTTTCAAAGCAAAATGGAACATTTGAAAATGACAACCAGAGTAGACAAGCATTTCTTGGTACAGCCTTTCATTGTGCTAGTCCTTGTTGGCAAACCTTGAGGGACTTATTCAGCATTTTCTATGATCTTAAGCAGACATACTTTTATAGTCTTTCTGAACTTTCACTTCCATCCATTATAAAACCTTACTTTTTCCCTCTCCTAAAAGCAAAATAAAAAATGCATTGATAAAATATAAATATCAGGGACATTTTGGAAAACTAATTGGGTCTTGCATTCAATGGGGGAAACACTTATGCATAGTTGAATTTGAAGTTCTTTTTGCTGGCTTTGAATCTACTATCCGAGATTGCAATGTACACCTTTTGTCTTTTACAACAGAGACTACTTAAAATGGCCTCCACTGGTGGTTTCATGGAGTTTTCTTGCTTGTTTTCATTTGGAATATCAAAAGGAGGCATTAACAATGGTAGACTCATTTAATTGGTTTCTACAGGAGTAAACACAGTGGTTTAAGCAGCATTTTTCAAGTCAGCATGGGTGGGAATGATAGGAGTTGCATTTAACAGATACAAAGTGCGGCATGTTTTTGAGTGCAATAGATACTGCCCCAAACCTGCCTTTCTTATGGTTGTCCAATACAAAACAAATATCACTTAATGAGTAACAGTAGTGTTGTGTGAACCGTTTCCAGATGGCCAAAGCACCTACTGAATCCTTTCCTCAAAAGTCCTGTGTTGCTACATCTTCTTGAAGGCTCAGGATTGCCCTATCAAGGCCCTTCCTGTGAGCACAGAGTATATTTCGAGCAAAATTACCAGTCAGGCAAAGCTAACTACTGGTTGAAGGAGAAACCAGAGAAGAGCATAAAGTAGAACAGGGCTTTTCAACCTTTTCACCCATTGTACCATTTTTAGGATATGGCAACATCCGAGTATCACTACTCGCCTAGCAAGGTGTCAAAAACTTGATGACCCAAAAAAAAAAAAGGAAAAAAGTGATAAAGTACAGGTAGTCCTCGACTTACAACATTTCGCTTAGTGACTGTTCGAAGTTACAATGGCACTGAAAAAAGTGCCCCCCAAGCTACAGCCGAGCAAGACGCCTGCCCACCCGGTGGCGCTCTTCCTCCTGTCCGAGGTTTTCATTGTTGTGAGCATTTCTGTTGAGGATTGGCAACGGAGGTGGGGTGGGGATGTTTGGTTTTTATTCCCCCCATCTGCTGGGTGGTTGCAGCAGGTTTTGGTCACGTCACATGACCCTGGGACACTGTGACCATCATAAATATGAATCAGTTGCCAAGCATCTGAATGTAAATCACAAGACCCTGGAGATGCTGCAACATTTCAGCCGATTGGTGCTTCTTCTGGGCTCAGCAGAAGTGCCAGGATCAGTGCTGCTTTCCAGCTGATTGGTGCTTCTTCAGGGCTCAGCAGAAGCACCAGAATCAGCTCCGAGCTCCAGCTGGAGTCTGGCACTGATCCTGGCGCTTCCACTGAGCCCTGACAGCCCCGAAGAAGCGCCAATCAGCTGGAAAGCGGCACTGATCCTGGCACTTCCGCTGAGCCCTGACAGCCCTGCAGCTCCAGCCATCTCTCGCTTAGGCTTGTGTGGTGCTGCCACCGGTTCAGCTCATTCCCCTCCCCCGCTACCACTTTTCTAGGATGGTCGCGTACCACCTGCCAGGTGCCAATGTACCACAGGTGGTACCCGTAGCACTGGTTGAAAAACCCTGAAGTAAAAGATGGTTGATGAAATGCCCTTCCAAATAATTTGCACCAATTGAGTTTGCATTCATTCTTAAATACTTGTACTTTCTTTTTTAAATGTAGAAGATATATTTTTAAAGACAACACTTCTCATACACAGCTTTTCAGATTACAGACTTGCCTCTCTAAAGGGACTGGCTATTGTAATTCATTTTTCCAGTATAAATTAATTTCAGCTCAGTTATTACTCAATACGTTTCCAGAGGGATTGGATGTGAGAATTAGCATTAGAGTTAGGATTAAGAATAGAAGAAAAATTTATTTACTCTACATTTGAGTGAATTCATCCAATTTCATATTTTTAAATCATAACAAACCAAGATTGAATTTCTCAGAATAATTTAAAATCTTCATTTCTCCATGATGCACTTTGCCAGCTTAAAAAACAAACTATTATGGAAACAATCCAGTATATGTGTATAAAAATAATGTATACAATTGTATTATATTATATGAAATCGCAAAAATATGTGTACACTAAGGAGATTTGCAAATATATATATATTAAAAAAACAGTGAAAAAAGTTTGAGAATAAAACTAATTACCAGTGACATTATACATTCCTTTTCACTAAATATACTGAAGCAGAATTTGATACCCATCTGTCAAAGCTGCCCTAATTTGGATCCCTGTACATGCCAGGAGTTGAACTTGATAACACAAATGTTTTCTAATACTTTTCTTCTCTTGTGATTTCTTTAAAAATAATGAATAAAAACAAGTGTCAGATAAATGGGAATTAACAGATTCATCCATTCCTAGTGGGGAAGCAAACGTGAGTATAAAAGGAAACTTGACTAAAGTTTGCATTGAAAGAAGTCAGTGACAATTTATTGATAGATTCTGTGGAAAATGTTTGCCTTATGTTAAGCAAACAAGTACTGTTTAAAATATATCTTTTATATTCACAGATGTAAATGAATGTCAGTATAGCAGTCTTTGCACAAATGGCCAGTGTGAAAACCTTGAGGGATCTTTCAGATGCCTTTGTAGCCAAGGTTATCAACTTTCCCCAGCAGGAGATCAGTGTGAAGGTAAAAACATGACTAATACTTATGTGATTTATTTAATGGCAAGAAATCTATTTATTAAGCATGGTCATCCTTGTTTTGGGTGGCAAGCTTTCTAAAGAAAATGAACTTCTACAGGAAACAGCCACTTTCAGGTCCCCTCTCCCATGCCTCCTCATAGGAGTGGACCCTTAGCAGGCATCCACAATTTATTGAATAGGATAGGCAGAGACTATTAGGAAATTCTAAGATATTCAGACTTTGAGCCACACTGAGCTCTGTAGGTAGTGACCAGTACTTTGAATTATATGTGGAGATATAACATGGCAGTTTCAAGTTCTGGACTAGCTGAAGTTTCTGGGTGGTTTTCAAAAGCGACCTCGTGTAGAGCAAATTACAATAATCTAAAAATGGCAAGAGTATGAGCATCATCATTGCTTCTTGTTCCAAATAAGGCTCTGAGTAGGCAAAAGCTCTCCTAGCTACACTTTCCCCTGCTCTTTCTAGGGGTTGCAGTAAAAAAATGGCACTGTCCTAAAGTCAGCTCCTCACTCAGCAGCCACTCCATCCTGTTTAAGTGGAGCTTCATTTCCCCCATCCAGATTTTGATAGCCTCCAAATGGTACATCAGACTTCCACTATCTCTCTCAAGTCCAGGATGGAGACATGAGTTACAGTACTCAGTTAACCATCTGCACATTGATCATACCTCACCCCAAACCTAATTCTTCGGTAGTTTTATGTAATTTTTAGACAAAATAGAAGAAAGAGCCCATGACTTTTCTATCGCACAACCACTGTCTGGACCTGCCTGCTTAGGTTGGAGTGGAACTATCATAACATTGTGCCCTCAATTCCCATGCCTTTCTAGTAATCCAGAAAGATACTGTAGTCTACTGAAATCTGATGAAAGATCTAGGTGGGCAAGAACTGTCTTATTCTCTGCATCCAAGTCCTACCAAAGGTCATCTATGAAAGCAACCAATTCAGTTTCTGTCCCATGCCCAGGTTCAAACCTGGACTGCCATGAGTCAGGTAATCTATATCCTGCTAGGCCCTCTGCAGTTGCAGCCCCATTATTTCCCCCCAGAAAGTTATGGTTAAAGATAGGATAGAAACTGTTTAACTCTGTTGGATACAGACATCTCCTCTTGAGAAGCAGATGAACCAATGCTTTATAAAGGCCTCTGGCATCTCCCTTTCCTCAAAGAAGAATATTCACATCTAATTTGCAGTCCCTCTCTAGCTGCTTTTTATCAGCCAGGTGGGGCAAGCATCCAGTCCACAAGTGGCAAAGCTGAGATTGCAGAGGACCCTGTCCATTTGGGATTCATGGGTTTTAAAAACCTCAGGTAATGCCATAGTGCATTACTTTGGTTATCTCGGGTTGCCAACCAGGGGTGCGAGATGATATCCCAGGGAGTACGAAAACTTGGGTTTTTAAAATTATAGTGTATATGCATAATTTGTTGCCATTATTTTGAACTTTTGTAAGGGATGCGAGAATATATCACCAAGCATTCTAGGGGCACGGGGTATAGAAAAGGTTGGGAACCAGTGGGTTATCTCTATAGATTCTGCCCCTCTATGTTTCAACTGAGAGTGAGTATGAGCCATTTTGTTTCTGGAATGAATTAACGACTAGTTATTCTGCTTGGTGTGTCAGCAGCACTATCCTGTAGCAATATATGTTTTTCTACTTTTTTCTGTGACTTTCAAATGACTTTTCCTGCCGAAATCCAGATGTTGGCATAGCTGAGCATCCTTAAAGTATGAGAAAGGAAAAAAGTTATTGTAAGCTCATGAGTGAGCAACAGCTGAATATGATTGGAGTCAATTTCAATAAAAAAAATCATAGTAATATTGTGTATCCAGATCCATCCATCCAATTTCTCCCTGTTGGCAACCTTCCAGTATTACAACATGGGCAATTAATACAGGAAACACAACTTACTCTATCAAGCAGCCATATTGAAACTGCTAATAAACTTAATATGTTTTGATTCAATTCTTAATACTCTTTGCAAATATAAGTATATGAATGTATTTTAAAACTGTTAAAAACTGTTAGTTGTAGGGAACAGAGTTTAAATAAATACCTAAATGTTTATTGATTATTTGCAGATGTAGATGAATGTCAGCAGCAGCAACAGCAGCAGCTCTGCAGAAATGGACAATGCAGAAATGTAGCTGGATCTTACAGGTGTATTTGTGAGCAAGGCTATCAGTTATCACATGCAAGAGATTATTGTGAAGGTATATTGTAACTTTCATTTTTACCATGTTTTCATTAACCATTTGACCAAATGCTATTTTGTGAATTACAATTTTTACACTCTGTGTGTGTGTGTGTGTGTGTGTGTGTGTGTGAGAGAGAGAGAGAGAGAGAGAGAGAGAGAGAGAGAACACATGAAATGATATCATTCAATATGAAGCATTCTTCCTAACCCTATTATTACTTAGAATCAAAGGCTTATGATAAAGGGAAATGGGACATTTGTAGGCTACTCTTGCTGAGGGCAGAAGATACCTTCCCTCATCCTAAATAATAACTTCAAGCAAAAGTTCCAAAAATAATCAATTCTTACTGTTTGAGGCTACTCTACCACAGCCTTTCTACAGTATAATAATTGTGTCACAAATGTATAATTATTTCATCCTTGTTATATATAGTTAATTGTTCTTTCTTTTCACCTTAATTTCCATGGTGGGTGATTTTGGAATATCACAGCACTAGAGAAGGTAGCTGATCCACTTTCATGGGCATATATTTTATATGAAACGTTGGACTCTAGTTGATGCCTCCACCCACATTTCTAACATATTTTGTTGGTCTTGAATTGATTAAAGTACCAAACGTTATAACTTAGTAACAAAAACCAATATCCTTAGAAACTTGTGCCTGGTTTAAATGTAGCATTGTTAGCCAGTGATCAATTGCTGAAAAAAAATACATAAATGCTTTTGCGATTCATGAAATCTGAGTTCTTGTATGATTTAGATTTATATAAGGGGACAAATGGTTATAGCATTTAACAGCTGTGTGGAACATAGACATTCAAAAGCTTTCTTTTCTGTGGAAATACAATTATGGGAATGCTTCTCTTGTTGACATTCCATCTGTCAGACATGTTACATATGGCCTCTGTTTAATTTTTTTCTGCTGGTAAGTGATTTTATATATATAGGTTTGCCCAGAATAAAAAGAGACTTGAATTAGTCTGAGTCTTTCCCCTATTATATTCTTATTTAAACTTGGTTGTCTACCAACTGTGGTTTCCAAATAATCTGAAACAATTTTTAAAATACTTGGGGGGAAAGCTATATGTAAGTCATAGTTTTTAAAAATTTGCTGGCATTCTTATGGCCATGTTCATATTATTGTAACCCTTAACAAATTAAATAACATTTGCCTCCCCTTCATATCTAATTACAAGACAAGTCAAGTAAAACAACTGTAGGATTGCATGGGATCACCATCATTGTAATATATTTAGTGTCTGGATTTATGAACATGAGCTTCATTTACATATGTGTTAAATCTGTTCTTTCATAATTGTTTCGTCCAAAATTATAAGTGGTCTCTGGGCAAAGCATCTAAATCATAATAGCCCCCTCATACTTCACCTTCATTATCAAGTAATATACATTAAATTATTTAGCTTCTATAAATATGATACAAGAATTTCTCAATTTATCATCAAAACACTGTGTCTATTTTTTAAAAGGATTTTGCCAGTGTTTTGTACACTTTAAATAACTGAGCACGTTTTTGTTCATTTTTATTGCCTTTAACATAACAGAAAAGAAAACAGCAAAATAAACAAAACATAAAAATACATATATTATCAAAAAAACAGTAGCAGTAGTTTAATAAATAAGTGAAAAATACAACAAAAAACAAGATATAGAAGTATAATATGTATTGTTTATTGTTGGAACAATAAACAATTGCAATTCTATATATAATTATCTGATACAAATATTATTTGTGTGTGTGTATAAAATACACATACCACTAACATACTTTAACTTACTGTGTTTTGTATAAATGAGTCCTATATTTTCTTACATGTATCCATACAAAGTCTGTTTCTTTCAGCAGTCTTTCTATCTATTCATACAAAGTCTGTTTCTATTATATCCTAATACTGTCCATTCAGCCAATGATGATATTCATATGGGTTCCAGTGTTGACCAAATTGGAAAATTATTAACACCAATTGTTGGCTTCTAGTGCTTGAAAATTAGAACAATCTAGCATTATTTGAAGGGTAGATTAATATTTTGTTGTCTTTATGGTGTGCCCAAACGTACTTTTTATCTGAATCACTCAAGCATTCCTCTATCTCTGATTTTTCTATAGAGAAATATTGTTAAGTAAGTATCTTTTATCTGAAATTGGATTTGTTTCAGATATTAATGAATGCCAAGAAGACAAGAATGTTTGTCGTGGGGGAACTTGTATTAATACCAAAGGGTCTTATGAGTGTACATGTCCAGAGGGCTTCCAGTTAATTCCTTCTAGAGGTTGTCAAGGTACAGTATCACTAAAGGATTTCTTTTTTTTTTTAAAGCTAAGAAACATAATTTTGTATGGTTGAAATTATTGTATGAGTATTCCTGTCATCATAGCATTTGTCAAGCACTATCCTGACATTCACAATTGTTTTAAAAGAATTATCCCATAAGTTCAAATATTACCACGTTTCATTTTTAAATCTTTATACAATTAAAAATTATAATTATTAATATTATAATTATAAATTTAATACATCCTTTCATTTGCATAAGTTGCTGCATAATAGAAGTTGATAGAGGTTTTCCAGAAAAAAAAATGGACTGAAAAAAAAATCCTATGCAAATGAGTATGAGTCCAATTAGTACATTCATCTTAGTATCCATCATCTGCACAAGTATGTAGACAACGTTATTTGGTGTGTTGGAAGGAAAGCCTGAATTACCTGCTTCTGCATATTTTAGAATAGTTACCTTGAAAAGCAGGCATACAGTGTGGAAAATGTCAAACTGTATTTGACCTTAACCAAAAGGCTGAAAAACAGTTAAAATTGCCTGAAGTGGTGAAATTTTTTTTTAATAAACTTTTTATTGATTTGTATAATTAAACAGTAAATAAGAATATGATGCATTTATATACACAAGCAGAAAAAGCAAAAATCAATACATTATCAGAAAACGCTCGGCAGTCCCCGCCTTGCCTCCACCCTCATCCACTTTCCTATCCTTCCTTCCTCTAACCCACAACCTCTCCTCCTTCTTCCTTACCACCTAACTACGTCCCCTCTCCTTCCTTACCACCTCCTCGAGTGCAATTGGGGATACCAGCCGAGCATTTCTTCCTATCAATTCAATTATTATTTACCTATAACATGTAAATACATCAATTTTTATAATTCCCCTAAGCCCCTTTCCCCCCCCCCGGACTTCCCGGAACCAGATACAGGATTAAAACACATCCCACTCCATATCTAAATTACGATTTAACTAAACAAGCATAATACTATCAATATATACCTACTTTAACTCTAATAAAGCAATAAGTAAAAACAATATATCTACTCAGAGACTATATAATATTTATTCACTCCATACTTTCTCTAAATATAATCTATCCACCTACAACTTTTAAACTTTACATAATTTTTTTCTTACATTTTACACTTAAATTTTTCCTTCACTTTCTTCCCTCTTAAGTCAATACTGTCAAAACAAAAACAAGAAAAAAAAAGAGTCTTAAGTCAATACTTCCTGCTTCACAGCTGGAAAAGTAAAATAAAATCCCAGTCTTAAGTTTATCAAATATTTTACATCTTTCAAAATACTATAAATTATTTACAAACATACGCTAATTTCTTCCATTTCCATAATAAAGTCTCATTTCCAGCATCACAACTTATCCATCCTTTGGCTTATGAAGCTTGCTAAGCATTCCCTGCAGGTCTATCGTTGCAGATCTCTTTGGTCTCGCCCCTCCCACTGACTCCGAAGGCAGTGGATATGTTATAGATACAATTTCTTTTTGTTGTTCTCTTTCTTTACGCCTATAGGCAGCACGGGTCATCCTCTGCTCCTTCTGAGGGTCTCCTGTAGATAATGACATGGCCCCAGGCAATTCCACAACAAGTTGCTCCATCACATCTTCCTGTGCTTTAGGTGTGGGTGATGATGACAAATAAGCTTTCAGGACCGACAGATAAAAGTCTTTAGCTTTTTGAACAGAATTTAATCTGTATCTGGTCCCCGAAAAATTTACCACAATACCCAGAGGAATCTCCCATCTAAAGGGGATCTGCCGCTTCTTTAACTCCTGAGCCAGAAAAGTAAAGTCCTTTCTTCTTCTTAAAATCTTAGAAGGTATTTCTTTTAAAAGTATAATATCTTGTGCAGCAATTTGAAATCTCTGTTGATAAAAGAGCTGTATAATTTCATTACGATATACTCTTGTGGTAAAATAAACAACCACATCTCTAGGTAGATTTCTCTGACGTGCAATCCAGGAATTTACTCTAAAAAAAANTACTTTAACTCTAATAAAGCAATAAGTAAAAACAATATATCTACTCAGAAACTATATAATATTTATTCACTCCATACTTTCTCTAAATATAATCTATCCACCTACAACTTTTAAACTTTATGTAATTTTTTTCTTACATTTTACACTTAAATTTTTCCTTCACTTTCTTCCCTCTTAAGTCAATACTTTCAAAAAAAAACAAGAAAAAAAAGAGTCTTAAGTCAATACTTCCTGCTTCACAGCTGGAAAAGTAAAATAAAATCCCAGTCTTAAGTTTATCAAATATTTTACATCTTTCAAAATACTATAAATTCTTTACAAACATACGCTAATTTCTTCCATTTCCATAATAAAATCTCATTTCCAGCATCACAACTTATCCATCCTTTGGCTTATGAAGCTTACTAAGCATTCCCTGCAGGTCTATCGTTGCAGATCTCTTTGGTCTCGCCCCTCCCACTGACTCCGAAGGCAGTGGATATGTTATATATACAATTTCTTTTTGTTGTTCTCTTTCTTTACACCTATAGGCAGCACGGGTCATCCTCTGCTCCTTCTGAGGGTCACCTGTAGATAATGACATGGCCCCAGGCAATTCCACAACAAGTTGCTCCATCACATCTTCCTGCGCTTTAGGTGTGGGTGATGATGACAAATCAGCTTTCAGGACCGACAGATAAAAGTCTTTAGCTTTTTGAACAGAATTTAATCTGTATCTGGTCCCCGAAAAATTTACCACAATACCCAAAGGGATCTCCCATCTAAAAGGGATCTGCCGCTTCTTTAACTCCTGAGCCAGAAAAGTAAAGTCCTTTCTTCTTCTTAAAATCTTAGAAGGTATTTCTTTTAAAAGTATAATATCTTGTGCAGCAATTTGAAATCTCTGCTGATAAAAGAGCTGTATAATTTCATTACGACGTACTCTTGTGGTAAAATAAACAACCACATCTCTAGGTAGATTTCTCTGACGTGCAATCCAGGAATTTACTCTAAAAAAAATTTCTATTTCTCCACAAATCACCTCTGGGTTGCAATTCAGTACCAGGGCCAATGCTGTAACAACTTCCTCTTTAAGTTTCTCTTGTAAGTCTTCCTTAAGACCCCTGATTCTCAAAGCAAATTCCATTTGTTTGTATTGTGACATTACCATGTCATTTTGAAGAATTTCCACTCCTTCTTCTAGTTTCTCAAGTCTATCCTCTGTTCCTTCCATTTTCTCCACTAATTCATCCACCCGTCCCTCTACACGATCAATATGAATTGCAAGTCCTTGAAAGATATGTGATAAATTTTCACAAAGTTCCTGATTTTTCTTATCCAAAAGTTCTTCTGTTTGTTTCACAGTCTGCAATGAGGACTTAGCTAAAGCCTCTTGTAAATCTTTAAGTGTAATGGAAGGAGGAGGTGTTGGTGGGGGAGATCTAGGTTTTTGTTGTTGAGTTTGCACAACAGGAGAAGAAATNGGGTTGCAATTCAGTACCAGGGCCAATGCTGTAACAACTTCCTCTTTAAGTTTCTCTTGTAAGTCTTCCTTAAGACCCCTGATTCTCAGAGCAAATTCCATTTGTTTGTATTGTGACATTACCATGTCATTTTGAAGAATTTCCACGCCTTCTTCTAGTTTCTCAAGTCTATCCTCTGTTCCTTCCATTTTCTCCACTAGTTCATCCACCCGTCCCTCTACACGATCAATATGAATTGCAAGTCCTTGAAAAATATGTGATAAATTTTCACAAAGTTCCTGATTTTTCTTATCCAAAAGTTCTTCTGTTTGTTTCACAGTCTGCAATGAGGACTTAGCTAAAGCCTCTTGTAAATCTTTAAGTGTAATGGAAGGAGGAGGTGTTGGTGGGGGAGATCTAGGTTTTTGTTGTTGAGTTTGCACAACAGGAGAAGAAATGGCTGTTTTAGGCAATGCAGGAACAGTACGTTTTGAAGCCATTCTGCCAGATTATTTTTAAAACTTACAACAGCAAGTATAAACTTAAGAAAGCTTGACTTAAGAAAAATTCTTTAAAGTCCTTTAAGATGCATCATTCCACAACCGGAAAGAGAGTGAAAGTTTTCCTTTAGTTAAGAAAAAGCAACGCTTCCGTGGCCATTTTCTTCTCACTTTCACTTATAGCAAGTACCAGACATCGCAATAAAATCTTGAGTTAAAGTCACATTTTAACTGAAGTAAAAATCCCCTGTCAGGTTCCGTCTGATCAAAAGTTACTCACAAACAGATACAAAGTAGCAGCAGTGGCGGCAACGTCTAGCTTCACTCCAAGGAGCAAAGATGCTCCGAGCTGCGGAGAAGAGGTCCGGACTCCGGGGGAGTTCTCACCTTCATCCCCCCAGGATCACTCCTGGGGGGACTAGGGAACTCAACCCCTATCCAGACCAAACTCACTTTCTCCCCTTCGCCTGGGGAGAAAGTTCCGAGCCGCAAAACAGCTGATCCGCGCTGCTTTGACAGCTTTGACGCAGTCCCGGGCAGGAGGCTGAGAAGAAAGCCTCCTTCGGCGAAGCCTCGCCACCGGAAGTCCCCTGAAGTGGTGAAAATTGATCCCAGAAAATTTTCTGTCCCACTTTTATTAGCATTTGTAACATTTACCAACAAATGCTGGAGTAGGCAAGTTCTTGAGAATAGTGGGCATAATTGTTGAGAACACTCACAAAAGAGCGAGCTTTCAGGAGTTTTTCAGAAACCAAATCTGGTAAGTTGTTTCACTACCACTTCTCCTCTAGCTCCTTAGAAAAATCTTTCATCATCCTTTTTTGTAATTTTTTTTAAATAAAATAAATAGATTTCCAAGTACTGGGCTGTAAATATATTCCATCCCCCCTCAGCCCAATATGTCTTAATGGTTTATGTGAAAGCCAGAAGCATTTTCATAAATAAAGATGAAGGTAGAGGCTAGTGTTTTCCTTGGTAGAATGCCAGTCCTGATTTAATTATTTATTTAATATAATATTTTTTTAAAAATGATGCCAAGTGATGAAAGGAACCTTACACCAAGAAGAGAATTGGAGAATACACTTCAGTACGTGTGTTGGAGCCAGTGAACATCATAAATGGTGCAGTACTGTCTCCAGTATACTTCAGCTGGCATTATGCTGAGAACAAGCATCATCAAGAAGTCACTGTCAAAAATGAGCATCTTTATGGACGTACAGTACTCAATTTGACATTTGTGTTCTTGCTTAAAGCATCTAAGAAAGACCTGCTATATAAGATACACTCCTGCAGCCTTTCTGTATTCAGCCGGGTTATTTTTTTAAGTATTGGCATAAGGCAGTGGTGGCGAACCTATGGCACGGGTGTCAGAAACGGCACTCGGAGCCCTCTCTGTGGGCACACATGCCGTTGCCCCAGCCTTGCCTCCTCACCAGCAGCCTCCCTGGAGGAGAGTCGCCCCTGAGCGTGGCCTACGCGGAGCAGCGCAGCCAAGGACATGGCAGCCAGGCAGCGTAGACAAGATCTGCCCTCACACCCCAATGCGCACAGTTGATGCTGCGGGGCATGGGCAGAGGGTGTGGCGCTGCTGGGCTGCCTGGGCGATCTGCGGCGGGCCCTGGAGGTGGTGAGTGGCCCCGTGGGCAGGCAAGGTGGGGCAGAGCGGGGGCAGGGCATGGGGTGGGGCAGGGGCGGGGCATGAGGTGAAGCAGGAGTGGGGCCAGTTTTTGGGCACTCGGTCTCTAAAAGGTTTGTCATCAATGGCATAAGGTGTACTGCCTTTCCAAGATTCAACATTACTTTGTTAGGTTAGTGGGAAGGACAGGAATTCCATTTCACTCATGGAGGCTAGTTAGTTAGTATGACACAATTATCAATCATGCAATTTTTATTACCTGTTAATAAAGACTTTCCTGGAGTTTCCCATATATGAGTATTTCAAAAATAGTAATGGCTATTTTAAATGTTGCTGATCATTTTAAAAGTTCAGGGTTCATATTAATATAAATTTGTTCGGTCTCTGTTTTTGTGTTCCTTTCAGATATCAATGAATGTGCAGGATCCAACCTCTGTTCCTCCCATGGAAAATGTTTAAATACTGAGGGTTCTTTCCGCTGCATTTGTGAACAGGGTTTTATGGTTTCTAGAGATGGCCGAACATGTGAAGGTGAAATGGGTTTGATAGAGCTCTGATTCTTATATCCAATCATTAGTTTTCATTCTTTCTCTATAAAGACCCTCATAGAACTCCATGATCTACAAAATTGACAGAAGAATATATTTCACTGTCCCACATAATGGTTTAGATGAGTTAACAGCAGCTCAATGAAATTCTTTGAGTTTTCTCAGAAGATGTAAGGGTTTAATTTAGCAGGGTGTCAACCAGTAGTTCCCAATCTGGAAAAAAACATTTCATAAAGTTGTATGAGCTGCCTAAGGGCACCAAATGACAGGTACCAAATATTTGTCGCACAAAAATATAGATCTATATGAAGCCTTTTATTTGAGATGTGTTTGAATATTAGTAGCTCGGGTTGGTAGTTGGGTTTTTGGTTTGATCTCCGAGCTTGCAACCAAATCGCCAAGCTCGGAGATCAAACTAACAGCCCAGCCTTTTATTTCTTTACATTCAAGAATCAAATCTAGCCCAATTGTGTATAAGAATAAGCTACTGCTTTTAGATAAGGGATATGGGTTTAGGAGGTTATGTTTTATTAGGTGAGGCCCAACAGGAAGAAAAGAATGAGATTGCTCTCTCTTCCTATTAAGCCAGGTTAATACCATCTTCTTTCCAACAATATTAAGGGGTAAATGATCAGGACAAATCCAAGAAAACTACAGAAGAATATGTGGTTCATATTTTGACCATAGAATGATAGTTTTGCAACAGTTTCATTCCCAGCATAAGCAGATACTTATTTCTAAATGTTTTTTTCTGTACAATTTGGCTTATGATGTCCACTAATATCAATGGATATAATATTAGGAAAGTCATTGCCATATGGTAGTTAAGGTGATAGCATGGATTAGGAATATTCACTTTCAACTTCTATTGAACATGAAAGTCGGGCTGACTTTGGGCCATTCATTCATTCATTCATTCATTCATTCATTCATTCTTCATTCATTTGTTCATTCAATTTTTATAGCCACCCATCTCACATACGTGGCTCTGGGCGGCTTACAAAATTAAAACATAAACAATACCAATATCATTCTCTTTCAATCCAGCTCAGTCTCACAGGGCTATTGTTAGGAAAAGGCTGCCTTGCTCTTAGAGTAAAGGCAGAAGTAATAATAACAACAACAACAACAATTATAATTTGCTATTTTCAGATATGGATGAATGTGCAAACAGTACTATATGCGGTGACCATGGTTTCTGTGAAAATTCTCCCGGCTCCTACCGCTGTCTTTGTTATCAGGGATATCAATATCTACAGGATGGGCAGGGCTGTGTGGGTAAGTTGTTAAATTTTAACAATTTTCCTTGACAAATCAATTTTCATGGAAAAATTAAGCTTCTTGTTATTTTTATTATGTACAGAATTAAAGAAATAAATTTGTGACAACTTTTTAATAAGGCACCCATTATCTTACCTTTTTAGAATCTTTTTGTGAAAACATCAGACTGTTCATACATTTTGTTAATATTATTGGCATAATTTAACCTGTTAAAGTTTTTAAAATTTAAAAGGGAAATACAAATGACAAACCAAGAGAGCAATTAGGATAACAGGATAAAGGAACCGTAGTGGCGCAGTGGTTAGAATGCAGTATTGCAGGCAAACTCTGCCAATAGCCTGGAGTTTGAGCTTGACAGGCTCAAGGTTCACTCAGTCTTCCATTCTTCTGAGATTAGTAAAATGAGGAGCCAGATATGCTGACTCTGTCCCAAATTGGGAGGCCAACAAGGAGGCTACATTGTATGGAGACATGAGAATAATATGGAAGATCCAGAATAGGATTGTTTTGGACCAAGATCACAAAATGACAATGAAATCAGAACTACCTGAACATTGGTGGCACAAACACTTTCCCTTCATTTTGAAGTTGGAAACAGATGAAAATCCTCTAAAATAGAAAACTTCCAAGTAAAAAAAAAGAAACTCCTCTTAATTCATATGTGTGGCACTAGTCCCTCTATTCTTACATCCTGCTGAAAATATCAAGTTTCACCTTTGATGCATTCCTGCTCCAGGTTACCCTTCTGTTCTTTCCCTATTTTTCCTCCCTCCTCTTACAATTCTTCCAATACACAAGGAATCTTGAGAGTTAGAAGGGGGCACCAAGAAATACATCTATCAAGATCAAAAACCCAAGGATAAAAAGAACAAAAGAAAACAAAAAGTCCTCTCCAGTCTGTGTTCTGGATTTAGAATAAATTAGATAACAAGAAAAATGAATTAAAATCCTACCCACTAGAAATGCATTTTTTTTTCCTCCAAAAAACATTCTGTATACTGGAAATAGTTGAAAAACAAAGCTAAAGGGGAGTGAAGACACGCCTTTGCTTTTCCTGTAGAGCTTTTAAAGCCCCTGACTATTCCCTTGAAATAGTGAAAGGAATGAGTCTCCCTGGCCAAAACTAAATAAATGAATCATTTAGCAAATAAACAATATTCCCTTCTCAGCAAGGTTAGGGGCAGCTTTCATTATATTTGATAGAAGTGCCTTTAGCCGTTTTAATTTATCTGCTGCAGCCCTGCCAGATAAAAGGCTGGAGGCCCAGAGATCCATGTGATAAAAGAGCAAAACTAAAGCTCTTTGGGAAACAATTGAAGCATTGAACAATTGAAGTCGTCAGTTGCAAATTCTGCATTCACCAAAGTAGTTTATTTGTGTGGACTGAAAGTATCTCAGAACAAGAAAGTTTTCCAAAATGAAATGGTAAATGATAGCTTTAAGAAGAGTTTCTGCCCTACTACTCTCATTTCTTCATTAATATAAGATCAGGGCCATGATGGCCAATATATGGTTGAGATCCAGAGGTCTAACATCTAGGGAAAAACATATTTGGAGAGAGCTTTAGAAAATCTTAGTCAAACTAAAGCTAATAATTTTGAAAAAGCTTGGTTAAGTCTAAACCTTTAAGACAATGGAAACTTTTTAGTCAAAGTAATCTCTGTCTAGTGACTCCAGAGCAATGTGATATGGATCACTCAGAACTCACCACAAGGCAACTGTTGACATCTATGTTGTGCTTATTTATCCAGGCTCAGCAGAATGAGAGGGGAAAAAAAACATCATCATGATGCCATAGAACCTCAGATCATTACTATACATCTCATGAGATATGACTGGACTTGAACCTGATTTTTAAATTTCAAAGTTCCAGAAATTCCTCAAAATTGTTAAACAATACACATTTTCTTTTACATAACCATTTTTTATTATTGGGAGATATTGGTCCTGCATTACGCCAGTTATTTCAAATCCTCCCAGAGTTATAAAAGGTCATAAGGCAGCCTCAGAAGAAAAATAACAATTCCCTACTATGAATTTCTGTTCTCTAAATCAATTGAGGGCATTCAACCTGCCTTGTATTCCAGAACTAGAATTTTTATGTGGAGTTCTACCTGCCCTGGGCTTATATGGATAGACCTTGGTGATACTTGGATTTTCCCCAAGTTTCTTATTTCCTTTTCTTTTCTGCCCTTGATATACATTAATAAGCCTTTAAACTGATATCTGAAACTTATTACAATTTTAATTGTTTTCTAGGTTGTTTTTTTTTAAGACTTGAGGGGCAGTTTTGTTTTGTTTTTTCCCCTCTTCCTTGGTCTAAGAGGCAAGATGGCTCCTTACAAATTTGCTCCAGAAAGAGATGCCATTTTGATTCTGCAGTATGAAACACCTTACATTTCACTCAAAGAATTCATCTTTGGGATTTTTTTGTTTTGTTTTTGGTAACGATCTGAAGCCAGTACTGGAATATCACCTGTTAGAGCCACCCTTAGTAAATGCAACATTTTTAGTATTATCCTACAGTTTGCCAAGTTGATTACGGATGCATTCTTGAATTCCAATTGTAGAAATATTAATGACAGTTTTGGAATAAATAATTATATGAGTTATTTTCAACAATAATTATGTTAGTTATATAATAAATGCAAATAATTTTTTTTAAAAAAATAAATATTTTCAGCTTTCCAGCTAATAACACTGATGCAAAGAGAAATAAAAGTCTTTTCTTTGGTGATGATGATGCTGATGACGATGATGATGTTAAGATTGATGTTAAATTTAATAGAACAAAACAAAATGAAGAAAGTTTGGATTGATGTTACGCTTTATTTTTCAGATGTGAATGAATGTGAAATGCTAAGTGGGGTATGTGGCGAAGCTCTCTGTGAAAATGTGGAAGGCTCCTTCCTGTGTCTGTGTTCCAATGAAAACCAGGAATACGACCCAATGAGTGGACTGTGTCAGTTCCGCTCCTCAACAGGTAATGTCCAGTGACTCTGAATGTATCTGTTGGTTAACATGTAGACATCTTTAGCCTGACATAACTCAAAAGAAAGGCTGATTGTACCAAATTGTTCTGCCATAGATTCAAATTTTAATGATAATAATGAACTAATGGTTGTGAATGGCTTAAAAAATTGTTGTTTTGAAAGTTATATAAATTTCCTGCCAGTTTCTTATGCTTATCCATTCTTTAAATATCATTTATACATATATTTATTATATTTTCTAGCTTGTATTCTTGCAACATCTCATTACACATTTCAAAAAAACTGATGCATAAATCATGATCAGGTTTAAAAAGATAGAAGAGTACAAATAAGAATATATAATCCATGAAAACTTCTTGCAATCCCAATATTAGATTCTTAAATCACCTTTGTTAATGTATTGACTATGAAAGTTTCAGAGAAGCTAAAAGCAGAGGCTTTCATTACATTAAACCAATTATTTTTGTTACAACATATACATACAGTACTGTTCTTTATCCAATTTGTAATTCAGAATAAATAGAGTAAAAAATACATAATATATATTACTGATAGCAATAGCAAAAATAATAATGCTGTAGTATGGCTGTTAAAAGTTTTGCATAGGCTGATATAAGTGTAAGATTAAATGATGGATATTATCTAACTATATAGTATTGAAATTGCATGCTAGGCAAGCCTCAATAAAATCGTTCTAAAACTAAAGCCATACTGTGGAAAAATTTCTCTGCCTAAAAAAAATTAATGACCTAGGTCTAGTAGAGCAACCAGTTGAAGAAGGCCTTCAGTACAAGATCTTTGTCATATCAACCTAATATATTCAATTATCTATTCTCTAGCAGGCATGTATAACCAGCCAGACTAGAGATCTTTGCCATGTCTTGCGTATTTGAATGTTCTCACCTAAGGAAAAAAAATAATCTAGTGTGCAAGATTAATATGGTATAATCTCATTGTTCCTGGGAGAACATTGCAGGTTCCAAAGGATACTATAGATCTTTCTCTCCAGAGGTTGAGGGAATTATTTACTTGGAAGAGGCCTCTATCATTCCACATGTCTTTAATGTTCCAGTCTAAGCAAGGATGCCCACAAGGGAAGCTTTGGAGGCAAGATTTCTACTTTTCCCAATACCTTCCTACAGCTAGAAACAATATGCTTAACCCTTGGGTGATGAAAATTCAGAGCAGCATAATTTGAGAAATTCTGTCACAGATTCTCCACAACTGTGCTTTGTAGGATCACTCCACCAGTTCTCTGGTATCAAGTATAACATCCCTATGTCCTTTGAAAAAGTCATCTTAGGACAGCGAATGGGAATCTTTTGTGCTCGGCATGTGAAAAATTAAGAAAACGACTAACTTGACTCTGCTGGGGTGTCGGTCAAAACATCATGACATATCATCTTTAGCATCCTTGTGATAGGTTCTCCTAGGAAATAAGGAAGCTGGATGTCTAGTGCTCTTTGTTTACTTGGTTGTCTATAGAATAAAGATTTGTTTTTCCTCTACCTGTATAATGGGATGGAGTTAAACTTGGAATACAAAATATATGTTCAGATTAAAAGAAAATTGGAAATTGGAAAGGCTGCTTAATTCAGTTCAAGAGACCAGCATAGCACAGATTGCTGATATTTCAGAAATCTAGCAAAATAATGTCAAGTTCCTTCAATATGACACAAAATTTAAGGCAAGAACAAAAGAGCATAGGTTACAGCTGGATGGAAAGAAAGTTATTTGTTTAAATTTGATTGCCAGATCCAAACACTTACTAGCATTAATCTCCATGCTCTTCAATAATATTTTAATTTTTGTGTCTGCTTTAAAACCTGAGAATATATCTTTTTGTTGCCCTGAAAGCCAATTATTTGCCATTGTGGTTTATTTTTGTGAATATTCATTGCCTTCTTATTTTACTGAAATATTTGCTTAAAACTACACTTTATGCCTCCTTCCCAAGTAAGGTCCTGCAGTCAGATTTATTCTGGACACCATAGAGACTTTTCTTATAACCAAGCCTAAAATAACCATCTCTGTAAAATAGGTTACATTGGTACATCTTTCAAATATCCCCAGAGATTTGCAGCATGAAGTAAATTATTACATCTATGTAGATGCTAATAATATCAAAGAAGACTCATAAATATGTAAAACTGGTTTATTCTGTATACATTTCTGTTCTTTCCATAAACGTTTTTTGTCTCATTCAGTTTCCAAACTTTCACAAAGTCTGTCTAACTTTTAGTCACAGCTGTGTAAATAACTATTTTAAAAATCAGGACATTAAACAGAGGAGAAATTGAAACAGAATTTAAAAGGATGTAAAAATCACTATGAGTTTCACATTCTGTTGCAGCAAAAATAATAAATTTGAACCTGTGTTAATTTGTATTCTGCATAACACATGAACCAAACTTATTTAATTTCTCCGATTGGCTAATATTTTGGTCTAGCTGTTATTTTGTTTTTTTTATTTTAATCTTCTCAGTATTCATTATTTATGTCCATATAGGTTATCATTTTACCTGCAAAAGTCATGTTATGCCTCTTCCTCCTCCTCCTCCTCCTCCTCCTCCATTTTGCTTCCCCTACTCTTCTGAGTGGGTTTTTGTTCAGTGAAAGCGTATGCTTTGGTGATGATGTACAGATCCTTCTCTCACCTTGGAAAAACCAAATTAGTCCAGCTACATATGTGTGATATGTAACATTCTTAATTTTGATCTTCTTAGACAGTGGATAATGCCATCAAGCCATATATTTTATGAATTGAGACATTTTTGAAAACTACATACCCAATGGAAAAAGAGAAACCTCAGACTGTACTAATACGCTGCAGCACATTTATTAATTTTGCAAAGTATAAAAGCAAGATGAGAATGCAAGTGTGCTGAATTCGAAAAACTTCATGTTGCTTTAATTATTTGTTTCTTCTAATAGAAACATATGTTCTTCTGAAGGCAGAAAATACATATCTAAATGTATAATAGCCATTACATGAAATAGAACTTCCTAACATGACTTATTATTTTATATATCACAATCATCTAAATGTTTGGGACAGCTCAAAGGACTCTTTAGGGCTATTCATTTTTAATTAGTGTCTGCAGGCCTTGTCATATCTCTGTTCCAGCATTCAGATCCTAAAAAATAAAATAAAATCCATGGATGGAGCCCATCAGGGTTCATTAAATCATTAAAGTGGACCAATCTAAATAGGTCCTGTGTCCCTACAGAGTCCAGCAGCACCAGCAAACAAATGATTACTGTGGAAATGAACTAATAGTTATTCTCCCATCTTTACCACATCATGTCACAACTATTCCAAAACAAAAACCAGATCTGATATGAAACCCTTGATTTGTTCAGCCCCAAATCACCTGAGTCAGATTGCCATGATGGCAACAAACTCCCTAATTGTCCCAATTCTACATCACCTGGGACCAAATGAAAATTCCCTCAGAACAATCAGCCTTTGGGACTTGGACCTAGCAGCCAGTGGTGGGATTCAAATGTGAACAACTGTTTCTCTGGGCCTGGGCAACAAATGTGAACAACTGTTTCTCTGGGCCTGGGCAACAAAAAATTAGCTACCGGTTCTGTCGAAGTGGTGTGAACTGGCTGAATCCCACCACTGTTAGCAGCTCAGGCAAGGATATTGATATACAACAAGCTACAACCTCAACAAACACAGCTCTTCCTAGAATTCAACTTCCACCAAAAAATCTCACATCTAGTTACCTGCAGATCAAAAACTTTGCTAAACAATATTCCTATAGCAACTAATGCCCATCTAGACTAGCAGGACTGTGGGGAAAATGTCAGATGGTAGGGCAAGCCCAATAATTCTGGATCTGTCCCCATCCTGTTCTGTCTGAATTTAAGAATGATCTCTTGCCTTGGTTCAGCAGGCTTAATGTGCTATTAAATTTGATTCTCTGTCAACTGGATTGACGTAAGCACATTGGCATGAAGCTGAAATTAAATTTTACAAGCTCATGTTGAGGGATATTTATGAAATTGATGTCCAGATCTTGGGGGAATTACTGGAGCCAAACAGAAGCCATATGAGAGCACATTGAAGAGGCAGGATGCTCACAGCTGCTGCTGGCTCAGACTCTCTGTCAGAATAGAAGTAGAAACCTAAGAACTAGCTTTCTGGTCTGGGAACCTGGTGCTGTTCTTTTATGAGAAGTGTCTCATAATTTTCTAGGTTTCTGCTGTTGCATTTCCACTGAGCAACTTTACTTCACCATCCATCTACTCTTTCCCAACCTTTCTATCAAGGTGACTTCCTCTATGCTAAAAGGTGCTATTTCAAAAGGCAACTGGACTGGTTTTTTCCCTTCTCATCCAAGAAGCTTCATCAGTTAAAACTATCGGTTCAGAACCGATAAAGCTTCTTAGAGGAGAAACAAAATAATAATAATAAACTTGGAAGGGACCTTGGAGGTCATCTAATCCAACCCCCTGCTCAGGCAGGAAACCTTATACCATTTTGGACAAATGGCTGTCCAGTCTCTTCTTAAAAACTTCCAGTGTTGGTGCATTCACTGCTTCTGGAGGCAGGTTGTCCAGTTGCCTTTTGAAAAAGCACCTTTGAGACAACTATGACC